TGGTCATGTGGTCTGCCCAGGGTCCTCATCTCCCAGCACCACCCCCTTTACCCCTGTCAGGTCCTTCAATCCTATGGATAGCTGCTCTGGGTCCTGGAAGGCCTGTTTCCTCCTAGGCCCTCAGGGGAAGTTTGTGGATGTGACTGGGGGTGGGGTTAGAGCTAGAATCTCCCAGTGAGAGGCTGGGGGTATGGGCTGAGAGGTAAATGATGGATGTGGAGGTGCTTTGAAAACACAGGATGGTGGAGTCACTTTGATGTCTGGGATTTCCTGGATGAGGGCAAGGATCCGTGAGGATTTGAGGGTCAATGACTACCTTCTGTGTCCTCTTCGATATTCAAGTCAGAAAATCCATTATCACTGGACCCATCTGCACATGGCAGCAACAGGCTCGTCCTCCTGACAGATTTGTGTCTCTGTATGCAGCCTGTCATGGCCCCACCATTGCTCATACCATACTAAATTTTGTATTAGATTTACTCCATTTTGTTTTATGTGTGAGTGTTTTGCCTGCATGTATGCATGCACACCACTTGTGTACCCAGGGTCTCTCAGAGATCAGAAGCTGGCATTTGAATCCCCTGGAAGTGGGGTTACAGATGGTTGTGAACCACCATGTGAGAGATCTGGGACTCAAATCCCAAGTCTCCTTCCAGAAGAGGAGCAAGTGCTCTTAACCACGAAGCCACTTCTCCAGCCCAAGGAGTTCCTTTTGAAGATTTATTTTTACTTTTAATGATGTGTATGAGTGCCTGCAGAGGCCAGAAGAGGGCATCAGGTCCCCTGGAACTGGGATTATAGGCGCCTAACAGGGATGCTGAGGACCAAACCCAGATCCCCTGCAAGAGCAGTATGCATTCCTAACCACTGAGCCATCTCTGCAAACTCCTATTATGGTTCCTTCATACCTGAAGGTGTGAGCAAGTGTGTGTGTGTGCACGTGCATGCATGCAAGTGTGCACACATGCACTAGCTAGAGGTGGACCCAGGGGCCTCGTTCACGCTGAGTAAGCGCTGTACTCCAGAGCGTCGGTGAGCACTTGGGTTTGCAAGGTGGGTGGGCACAGGGTGATTGCAGTGAGACTTGGATTTTTTTTTTTTTTTCTGGTATGTCAAGACAGGGTTTCTCTGTGTAGCTCTGGTGCCTGTCCTGGATCTCGCTCGCTCTGTAGAGCAGGCTGGCCTTGAACTCACAGAGATCCACCTGGCTCTGCCTCCTGAGTGCTGTGATTAAAGGCGTGTGCCACCGCCGCCTGGCTTGGAACTTTGGCTCTTAAAGCAGTTATGGGGAGGAAGCACAATGACCTTGAGCTCCCTTCCCCTCAGTTTCACCAACTAGGGTGGGGCTCTGGTCCCTCACAGGTCTCCCCTTGATGGAAGCCAGCCTGGGGCCAGCGGGCATGGCTAACACATTTGTGTTGATGCTGGCAGGACACCTACCCTCCAGCAAGCTGGCCAGCCATCTGCCCAGGCTATGCCAAAGATGGCTCTTGCCCTTCCTGGAAGGCCCTGCCTCTTTCCAGTTCTCAGCCACTGAGAGGGGCATCTTCGCTGGTAGCCAAGCCTGACATCCCACGCTCCACAATAAGGGTGGAGGAGGAGATGGATGGTACGTGCGTGCTGGGTGGGAGATCTCTGCGAAGCTCTTGGAAGCGATGGTTCTCCAGCATCTGCAGCCAGGACCTGTCACCCCTCCAACTCATCCATGAAAGTCACAGATCCCATCTAAGAACTCCCAGCCTCCACTGTGGCTCTAGATACCCACACATGAGCCAAGCCAGCCTCTGATTGCTGAATGGGAGGGTGGGCGTGGCGGGGGGGGGGGTAGTCTTTCTTTACACACACTGGATTTGAAATTTGCTGTCCTTCATTAGTACTTCTGCTTCTGTGTGAGTGGCCTGCAATGCCATTAGTATGAGCAGGCAGCTGGCCGCCGTCGCTGGGGAAATGTGTGCAGCTTTAGGATGTTGCATTGGAGCAAGGTTGCAAGGGTTTGCCCCGCCCCTCTCCACTGGGTGCAGTGCGGGGGGTGGGGGGGTGGGGGGGGTGCATACTGCTGAGTCATCCCTAGGTCTGGGAACCTCTCCTTGTCCCTTTGGGAAGTAGAGAGGAAAAAGAGGCCTCAAATGTGTTCCCTCCTTTATAAAGGGCTTGTTACAGTTGACCAGGTAACCACCAGAAGTCTGCAGCTGCATGGGTGGATAAGAAAAAGCCTTGATGGCTGAGAGGGTGTCCTAGGTTCCTACCTGGGCAGGAGGAGAGCACGAGACACAGCCTCAAAGTCATCATTCCCTTGTGCCTTGTGGCTTTGTCTATGATGTGGTCCCTCCACATGCCTGACAGTGAGTGAGGGCACACTGTGTGCGCAAACGCACCCATGCACGTGCAAACACATACACACGCATAGCTAACACCAGAAATCAAAGGGATCTATAGCCAAACACATTTCTCCACGTGTTAGGTTACTCCACTCTTAGACACAGCATCAGCTTTCTTATCTTCACGTACACATGCCTCTCCTCACCCCTGCACACTACCTCACAGGGTCTGCACTCCAGACAGGGTCTCTCATTGGCCCTGGTCTCATTGATTTGGAAGCCTAAGGGGTCTGCCCTCCTCTGTCTACCCAGCACTGGGATTCCAAACATGTGCCATTACACCTGGCTTTTTTTTTAATTTATCTATTTTTTAAGATTTATTTATTTTAATTTTTAAATGTGTATGGCTGTTTTTATTTTAATGTGTATTGCCTGCATGTGTATCTATACATATGTGTGCCTGGTGCCGAGGGAGACCAGAAGAGTGCATCAGATCCTTTAAAACTAGAGTTACAGGTGGTTGATGGTTTTTAGCGGCGCTCTTACCCTTCCAGGAAAAGTCATGAAACACAACAGAATCCACTAACAAGAGTTTTATTAAGATAAGGAGAACAGGATAGATGTGATCAGGCCTGCTGAAAGGACACATGTGGGGGGGGGGGCGACACATGGGACCTATCGTTTTAAGGGCCACCCCGCACATGCGCACACAGGCCCACGTGGCTACTCCACGCATGCGCATAGATCACGTGGTCACACCGCATGTGCGATTATGTGACCACGCTGAGCGTGGGTTATGTAGGACATATGACCTGGAAATGACTAAGTGTCCTGCCGGGGCATGCAAGACCTTAGGGGCGTGGCTGGAATGCCTATCAGTGGTTGTGAGCTGCCATGTTCCTGGTGTTCCGACACCTTTTCCTGGCTTCTGTGGAAACCACATGCACATGGCGAACATACATGCACTCAGAAACACATACAGATACATAAAAATGATTAAGTAATTCTTTTCTTTTAAAAAAAAAATATTGCGTGGACCTTCTTTTCCTTCAGCTCAAGACCAGCTCCATCCAGACTAGAGTTACTGATTCACACAGACCTGGGAAGGACAGAGGGACATGACATCTTGATACATCGAACCCAAGAGCTGAATGAGGTAAGCCAGCAAATTGTCAGTCACTGAGATCAGTGCCCTTGGCTTCTGTGGTGTAAGTGGACAGAGAACCCACTTGATTCCAAGGGCCTCTGCTGAGGCGCTCTGGACTGACTCCATTTCATACCTGTGGTCCCTAAAACACAGAGATAGACGGTCATAAACTTGCGCGGGGTCGCAAAACTGGGTGCCAGGGGACTCTGTCCTCCAATTGGGGAGATCTCACTGTTCTGACCATCACATTGGCCCTCACCTGCCTCAGAGCCCCCACCCACCCTCTTCCAAGACGACATCTTCCACCCTGAGAAGATTCTGGCTCCCTTCCTTCTTCCTGCAGCCTCGAGGTTCTGAGAGGACTCCAACACTTCAAGGGCTTGAGTAAGTCTGCTGCGGCCACTACTGCCATCTTCAGACCAGCCCGGCACCCCCCGAGGAGTCTCTTCAAGAACTCACTAACTAAGGGAAGACTCTCTCCACTGAGTGGATTTATTTTCTTCCCTCCCGAGGTGCAAGCCGTATGGGTCAGAATAACTTACTCCGTTCTGCTGAAGAGGAATTACGCCTGGACGGCTCCCCGAAGGACAATCGCGGCCCCAGTCCATATGTAAAGCAGCCTCGGGAGCTCCGCTCGGCAGCTGCGCCCTATTATCACAACGGCGGCGGGCCGCCTTCGTCTTTAACTGTAAACGCTCCTGACAGCTCCAGCGGAGATAATTATGATGCTTAAGGGAACTTTCGGCCTTGCTAAAAATACTGCGCAACAGTTTGAGGCGAGGGAGGTGCTTAGGCGTGATCTGGTAAAGACTCTGCAGCTGACGGCTGCAAGTTACGTGTGGGAACCGCGTGGCTGCCTGGCCGCTGCCATTTTCATCCATCGAAACCGGTGCTCAGTCTCACAGCTGAGCCTGGTCCTGGTCCTGGTCCTGGTCCTGGTCCTGGTCCTGGTCCTGCCGGACAGGAAAGAACAGAAAGGAGCGGAAACTGGTGAGTTTCATGGCTGAGGGAGGACTGAGGGAGGTCATTCAATCCCATGGGCTTCTCCTGGGGACACAGTTCAACTCAAGCTCCCAGGGTTCTGGAGGCTGAGACCAGGCCACTGGACTGCAGAGGTGTCCAGTGCCAGAATATCTGCCAGCCACCATCTCTCCGTGCCCCCACCAGCTGAGACGGGGAGAGAGGGAAAAATGAAGACAAACTGGCCCTCAAGACGCCATGTGGGGGGAATGTCTTCCACACACCTGTACTTTATTTACTTTTACAGGAAAGGGAGGCATACTCTTGAGCACACTCTGCACCAGCTGGTGGCCCTCACTTTAATCCTGGTATTGAAGAGGCAAAGACAGGGGAATCTCAGTGGGCTCACTGGCCAGCCAGTCTAGCTAAACCCATGAGCTCTGGGTTCAATGAGAGACCCTGTCAAAAAAAAAAAAAAAGATGGAGAGCCATTGAAAAAGGTACCCAACATCAACCTGTGACCTCAACATTCTCGCATGCATGCACACCAACACACACACACACACACACACACACACACACACACACACACACAATGTGCACACATACACATAAAAGGAATGGGGTAGGGGAAAAGAAATAACTGGTTTGTCACCTTGCTTGTTAAGGTGGACTACAAGGAAGACGGAGAGTTGAATGTGACACTCAGCAGCATGGATGACATTGGCAGTCTGGACAAAAATCTGTGCTGTTGCGAGGGCTGGGGCATCAAAAGAGAGGTACAGTCGAGGGATGGAGGAGAGAAACATCAGGGACGTCTTTCTGAAGGACAAAGCAGAGGAGAGCGAAGAAAAGAGGTAGCCTGGGTACCTCAAAAGCCAACTCTTCCCCCAACATTTGCATGGCTCAGCCAGCAGAGGAGGGAAAAGTAGCAGAAGGACATGGGGCAGCCTGTGGGATGAATATCCTCCAATAGCTGATGGAGAGGAAGGCTGATTGTCAATCAGAGCAGAGAAACTCATTCCAACTAAGGAATGGACCCCTCTGTAAGTTTGTAGATGTGGGGCTCGGAGCTTAAAAGGTCCTTTTCCCACTGCGTCTGATTTTCTCGGTGAGCAGGAAGCAGGTAGATTTGGGAACCAGGAAGGGGCTTCTGGGCTGCCCTGAGGATCCATCAAGTAGAACGATCAGGAAGGTAGCTAAGACTCGTGGGCAAGTTACGTGTTTCTGTCAGCAGCTGGGTACAGGTGTGAGGCAGATGAATAGTTGGGGCAGCTTGTGTCAGCGTGGAGGGCTGCTGGGGACCATGGCGTTGAAGCATGGAAAGGAAAGAAGGGACTGAAAATCAGTTGTCCTCCCGGCCAGGATGGGAGACTGACAGAGAGGTCTTAATAGAATGTAGCACCGAAGGGTAACTGGAGGGCTAGGAATGTAGCACAGGTGAGAGTTTGTTTGCTGAGTACTCACAAAGCCCTGGGTTTAATCCCAGCCCTACATAAATCAGGGTGCTGGCACCTAGAATCCTAGCGCTTGGAAGGCAGAGGTAGAAAGGACAGAAAATCAGCTACTTAGAGAGTTCAAGGGTAGTCATGGCTCCATGAGACCCTATCTTGGTAAAACAAAACAAGCCCAACAGAAAAGGGCTTGCTGGAGCTGAAGAACAGGGAGCTAAGCCGGTGAGATTGGAGGCCGGATCAGTGAGGGGGAAAGTGATGGGCAGTCCAGAAAAACATCTGCAACACAGTCCTCATCATGGGTCCTTCAGAATGTCTCAGCATTAAAGGCCAGTGTCAGACCCGGAGGGAAAGCTCAGCAGCTATGAGCAGTTGCTCCTCTTCCAGAAGATCTGAGTTTACCCAGGACCCACCCATGTCAGGTGGCTCACAGTCATCTCTAACTCCAGCTTCAGGTGGCTCTGACAGTCTCTTCTGGCTTCTTTGGTAACTGCACTCACATGAACACACACACACACACACACACACACACACACCCACACACACACACACACACCCCAAATAAATTTTAAAGAGAAAATGCTAGCATTAATGACAGAGGGCCGTGACCATGCTTTGAAAGCACAGGAAATGGGGTGGTTAATCCTCACTTCTTCTCAGGCTTTGTAAGTGTGGGGAACTTTTGACTTAACTCCGGAAGTAAGAGCAGAATTTCAATATGTGGTTGTTAGTGACAGGGTATCCATTTTCAGAGGAAGTGTTTCTCTCCTGGTGTGTGTGTGTGTGTGTGTGTGTGTGTGTGTGCTGTGAAGTGGATCTCAGAGCTTAAGAATGCCAGGCAAGTCTACCAGGGAGTTACACTTCGAGCTTCTCATATTCATTTTGATACACAGCCCAGGCAGCACCTGAATTTGCATTCTTCCTGCCTCAATCTCCTAAGTGCAGAGGTGACAGGCATGAACCACTGTGCCTTGGTCGTGATTGCTTTTGACAGACTCCTGGGAGGTTACCTCTAAGCCTTTGGGATGGCCTTCCTAATGCAGGTGGCTTTGTTTACCTGGGACCCTTCCCCAACATCAGATAGTAAGTGGGATTTATGGTAGAGAAGAGAGCATGCGGTTACCAGCTCAGCCTAAGGAGGAGCAAATGATACAATCAGCCATGAGTGTGGATGAATATGAATGTGGTCATCACTGACCACAGTGAGTTGTGAGTGAGATCAGTCATGAGCATGGCTAGCCATGTGGTCAACAGTGAGTAGTCGGATGTGAACATGGTCAGCTATGAGCTTGGTCAGATTTGAGTTTGGTCATTGGCAAATGTGGTCAGCCATAAGTGTGGTCAGTGGTGGGCATTGGCAACTACGAGTACAGTCGGTGGTGATCACTGTCAATGGTGATCACTGTCAATGGTGGTCATCTGTAAGTGTCTGCTAATAATATCCGATGAAACCTCCAGATAGCAAAGCTAGGACTTTTTAATACCTTTGGTTTTCTCTGGGTAAGACACAAAGGCTGGCAACAGTCTGCGTGCATTGGCTGTGGCTGTCCGCTTGACTCTGTGGAGAGCTTGACTCTCTTGGACCTGCCACAGCATCTCTCCCATCTGCTATCTTTGCTCTGACCCTCCCACATCGGTAAACTATAACCACTAACGTAAAAGTTTGCTGAATTCTGAGAGTCTTCCTAGTGGCAAACTCCTCCTCAGAGTAGTCTTGAGGATTGTGGTTAAGGGTGAGGACCAAGGTATTCTGAGTAAGGTGAAAACTAGAGCATACTGGGTAAGGAGAGGATCAGGACATTCTCTCTAAGATAAAGACCAGGGCATTCTGGGTAAGATGAGCACTGGAGCATTCTGGGTAAGATAAGGACAGAGCATTCTGGGAAAGATGAGGCCCCTGGCATTCTAGGGAAACACCTGCTGTGGAAAAACAGAGAATTGGAAGTGTCATTTTCACAAGGACAGTAGGAAGAAAGAAAGGAAAAAAAAATCCCAAACACGTGAAAAGAGGTTGAAGCAGCCTCCATAACGTCCCAAGTGTAAATTAAAAGAAGGCAGCGGCAGCGTGTTTTCTCCCCAGCAGACTGGCACACATCCCAACGCACGGGAACACGCTGTGTTGGAGAAGCTGTGGGAAGCAAGGCCTCGCACGTCGCTGCTGGAAACACAAACCGATGCAAGCTCCGTATGGACAGACTTGGCAACAGCCATCCGCTTACAGATGTACCTACCTCTGACCCTCCCACCCGCACCTGTGAGTTTCCTTCACCTGCAGCCCTGCACGTGTGTGGCGTGTGTATGAAACTATTTAATTGCTGCGTTTTCTTGTAAAAACAAGTGATGGAGAAAGACCATATGCTCATCCATAAGAGACTGTTTGGGTAAAGTGCATTGAACCATTCACGGGAATATGGAATAGCGTGCTGCGTATCTAGAAGAAAAGGTGGGGTGGGGGTGAGAAGATCGCAAACTGATGGAGAAAGAGAAGCAATTCAGAAGGGGAAGTGGGATGCAATACAGTTTAGACAGCAGGCAACTGTGTGTAAATAAAAGTAGAGGAATAAGAATATATTTTGTGCCAGGCGGTGGTGGCGCACACCTTTAATCCCAGCACTCGGGAGGCAGAGCCAGGCGGATCTCTGTGAGTTCGAGGCCAGCCTGGGCTACCAAGTGAGTTCCAGGAAAGGCGCAAAGCTACACAGAGAAACCCTGTCTCGAAAAACCAAAAAAAAAAAAAAAAAAAAAAAGAATATATTTTGTGTCTGATTCTGTCTGCATGAAGATACTCAGATACTCTACGGCCTACAAAAAAATGAGTCAAAGGCTGTGACTGGCTTAGAATTGAAAGGAGTAGGCCGTATGCAGGTGTGAGTGTGTTGTTCACTCAAGGGATTCATTTTAAGAATGACTTGTCTGTAAGTGGCAGGATGTGCTGATGCTCCTGAGGATGTGGGCTGCAATTGGCCATAGAAAGCTGTTTTATGCTGCTGTGTCCACCCTGTGGAGTTGGTCTCTAGGATTCTCCCCCGATCCCTGCTACCCACTGTTTACACAGGGAGCCATACCTCTTTGCATGGGAGCTGCAATTAAATGCAGCAGAAGTGATGGGGTGGCCGGGCGTGGTGGCACATGCCTTTAATCCCAGCACTTGGGAGGCAGAGGCAGGCAGATCTCTGTGAGTTCGAGGCCAGCCTGGTCTACTAAGCAAGTTCCAGGACAGGCTCCAAAACTACACAAGAAAACCCTGTCTTGAAAAAACCAACATCAACAACAAAAAGAAGTGATGGGGTGTTGTTTCCATATTAGGGTATAAAAAGATGAGCCATTAGGTAGCGTTATGTATTTGATTGAGTACGCACCAAAATTCCTAAGTAGAAGCCCTAACTATAATTATATAACTCCTGTCATTATTAGATGAAAAGCAAGGAAACAAAGAGATGGCTCAGCCATTAAGAGTACTTGTTGCTCCTTCAGAGGATCCAGATTTGATAGCCAGCGCATACTTGGTGCCTCAAAACCATTCATAACTCCAGTTCCAGGGAATCTCATTCCCTATCCCAGCTTCCACGGGCACCAGGCACAAACAAGGTGCATATACACACACAGGCAAAACACTAACATGTGTAAAAGAAATCCATCTAAAGGACAAAGATCTGAAAGAGACATCCAGACTCCATTCTCTTTCTCTCCCTCCCTTCTCCATCTCTTCCGCTCTTTCCTTTGGCTTTTTCCCCTCCTCTCTCTTTCTGTCCCCCTCTGTTTCTCCTGTGTGTGTGTGTTTCTCTCCTTTCTCTTCCTTTACCCCGTCTCCTCCCTTAACTCTCTCTCTTCTCTTTCTTTCTCTGTCTCTCTTCTTTGGCTCGCTCTCCCCATGTCTGCCCATACCCTCTCTCTCTCCCTGCACCATGTAAGGAGACAAGAAATACAACCATCCTAATTTTAGTAAGACACCCTGAACCAGACATACTCTGACCTTGGGGTTCCGGAACATTACTGAAGCTACACAGTCTAGGAGAGCTGTGAAGAAAGGGACACAGAATTCACTCTCTCACTCTCGTTCTCTAGAGGGAGCCAGGAGCCATTGTCACAAAGCAACGTTGTGGAGGCCCCTCCAACAAGAAAGCAAGGTTGATCAGCAGCCACCTGTGTGACCCTGAAAAACCACTGTCTCCCCATAGGCGTGGAAGTGGTTATAGGACCAGCAACCATGGTGGCAGCCTCACAAGTGACCCTGCATCACAATGTCTGAATAGACCCCTAGTACTGGTTTCCAGCTGCTGTATCTGAATAGACCCCTAGTACTGGTTTCCTGCTGCTGTACTCAGGACACTCGTTACACAGCAAGAGGTAACCTACACAACTGTAGAACTGAATTCCCAAAGTTCAGTCTCCTGAAACCACAGACGGCTCCCACGGTCAGGAACCAACCCTGGCTTTGTCTCTCTCAAGGCCTCAGTCAAAGTATGCCTGTGTTGGCTGATGGCTTGGGGACTGGAAGATGCTCATAGCTGCTAGAAGGCCTTTGATCCATCCAAACTTCAGGCAAAGGCCATCCTCCATCCACCTTCAAGTGAACCAGTTCCCTGTGGTCGCCTGGGGTCCTCTCAATAGGACAGCTGACTTCTCCCAGAACAAATGACCCGAGAGATCACCCTGGTGTGGATTTGAGAGTCTCACGCTGTCATTGTCATGATGACATATGGATGACACAGTTGGGGATAGTCTACACATCAGGGCACAGCTGGTGGAGCGGCTACTGATACTGAGAGCCTTCGGTACCTTATTGGAGACTTCCTTGCAACATCTGTAACAGACTGGAGGTTCAGTACGGCCTCAGCCTGGGGGTGGGATGAGAGTGGGGAGGAAGGGTGATGGGTGCAGAGTGGGAATGAATGCAGGCTCGCCCTTGAGCCTTGTGGGTAAGCCACTGTTGTCTGTCTGATATGCATCGCTTCCATCCTCTTTGTCTCTACACCGAACCTATAGAAGGGGGTGGGAACAGGAGTGACAGTGGACTCGGAAGATCTGCCCGCATCCTCCAAGGTCTACATGTCTGCCTTTGCCAGCAAAGACAGCTCCGGCATATGCTGTGTTTCCACGTCTGCATGGCAGGTCACAGAGTGCCAATAACTATTAAAGAGTTTTCCTACTGCTGTGCTTTTAAGTTAGATCCAATTTTGCGCTATTAGTAATAATCATAGCCAATCTCGAAGCTTGACGACCACATGATTCCATTTCTGTAATGGCCTTTAAAAATAAAACCCTTGAAATCTATACTAAAGGAGAGCAGGTGAGGAATACGAGAGGTAAGGAGCAGGGACGAAAGATAGAACATGGAAATTTCTGGAATCCTGATCACAGTGCAAGTTAGAATGTGTGTGGTATGTCCATAGAACTCTGTGTGTGTGTGTGTGTGTGTGTGTGTGTGTGTGTGTGTTGGAGTGGGGGTGGGGATGCATATTGTGCAATGCCCACAGAAGACAAAAGAGGGTGTTAGATTCCCTAGAGCTGGAGTTACAGCCATTATGAGTCATCGAACATAGATGCTGTGAACTGAACACAGGTCCTCTGGAAGAGCATAACTACTGAACCATGCCTTCAGCCCCATGAATTTAGGTGTACCAAATGTGTGTAGGTACCCACAGAGACCAAAGAGCATTTTGTCACCAGACCTGGAGTTATAGACAGCTGTGAGCTGTCATGTAGGTAATGGGAATTGAACCTGGGTCCTCTGCAAGAGCAGCCAGAGATCTTAACTGCTGAGCCATCTCTCCAGCCCTGATACCTTCTTAAGTTGTTTTGCTGAGACGGGGTCTCATTGTTGTCTGGGATATCCTAGATCTGAAACTCACTAAATTAATACAGGCTGGCATTGGCCTCCCCAAATGCTGGGATTACAGGTATGAACCACTGCACCCAGTTTTATTTGTTTATTGCTATTTTAAACAGGATTTTCTATAGTCTACACTGGCGTCACACTTTCTCTATAGCCAAGGATGACCTTGAATTCCTGATCCTCTTACCTCTACCTCAGTGCTAGAAATACAGGGCTATGCCAGTTTCATGACTCCTCCGGTCTGGGTTCTAACCAGCGGCTCCCTGTTTTATGAACTCACATTCACAATGGGGCGAGGGGTGGCATGGGAAAAGGAAGGACTCTCAGCCCAGGAATGAACAACCTGAATTGTTGTTCAGTATGGGACCCAGTGTGTTCCAAAGAAGACAACAGCCATGGTAATAATAGTGGAGAGGGTTCCAAGCATCAAGCATGGGCCAGCCCACCCTTTGTGCCATGGTTCATCTGGTCTCAAAGAAACAACACAGAGCTGGGCTCACATATTCAGGGGAGAATTAAGAACCATCTGTAGGGTGCCTGCAATAGTCCTTCTGTAGCCCTGTACCTGACCCCAGAGGCAAGGACCAGAGCTAGCACCATACAAACTCCACAGCCAGTTCTCAGCTCGGCACATGGCTGCCCTTGGGGAATACATTGACAGATCTTTCCTTTCTTGAAAGAGGTTGAAACTGGGATTTCTTATATGAAATGTCTCAATTTAAAAATATCGACTCAGCTTGTTTCTTATAAGCGTATAGATCCTAGTTCAACTTCTGCATTACAAGTCAACAGAGTGACTGCATTTGAAAAGGTCCACAGCAGCATGGCATGTGACTTTTTTTTTTCTTTCAGAATCTGGCTGAAGTAGAGAAAGAAACCATCTTTCCCTCACCTGTTATTGCACAACAAACCATACAACATCCTAGAACAGTGGTTCTCAACCTTCCTAATGCTGCAATTCTTTAATACAGTTCCTCAAGTTCTGGTGACCCTCCTCCCCCCACACACACACTATAAAATTATTTTCATTGCTACTTCATGACTGTAATTTTGCTATGTTTTGAATCATAATATAAATATCAGTGTTTTCTTGTGGTGATATTGTGCACCCTAATAAACTTATCTGGGGTCAGAGAACAGAACAGCCACTAGATATAGAGGCCAGGAAATGGTGGCACACACGCCTTTAATCCTAGCATTCCAGAGCCAGAGATCCATCTAGCTCTCTGTGAGTTCAAAGTCACACTGGAAACAGCCAGGTGTGGTAACAAGAGCCTTTAATCCCAGGAAGTGATGGCAGGAGCAGAAAGTTATATAAGGCATAAAAACCAGAAACTAGAAGCTTTTGGCTGGCTAAGCTTTTAGGCTTTTGAGCAACAGTTCAGCTGAGATTCATTCTGAATGAGGACTGAGAGGCTTCTAGTCTGAGGAAACAGGATCAGCTGAGAAATTGGCAAGGTGAGGTGACTGAGAAGCTTGTTCTGCTTCTCTGATCTTCCAGCATTCACCCTCAATACCTGGCTCCAGGTTTGTTTTTATTAATAAGACTCTTTAAGATTCATGCTACATTTTCTGATGGTCTTAGATGACCCCTATGGAGGGGTTACAACCCACAGGTTGAGAACCACTGTCCTAGAGACTTGGACTGAACTGCTTCACTTGCTGTTGACAGGTAATCGTGACTGTCAACTTCATAGGACTTAGAGTCATCTAGAAGACCCAAACATAAGGGAAGGCCCATTCTGAAGGTGGGTGGAACCAACTGAAGAACTGGGGTCCCTGACTGAAAGAAAAGGAGAAAGTGAGCTGAGCACCAGCATCCATCTCTCCATGATTCCTGACTGTGGATGTCATGTGACCTACCTTGCACCTGTTAGACCCATGTCCATGATGAACCATGAGAAATGAGAGAGACACTACTTACGGGTTCCAAAGATTTTAATAATTCACCACGTTAGTGGGTCATGGATTGATCTGGGCTGCAGGACAAGGACTCGTGAGTCTTGTTTCTCCTGAAAGCCCCAAGCAGGGGCAGAAAGCGGGGTTTATAAGCACAAAAATCACAAACATTTGTTACCAAGTTACGGTCACAATTTTCACCAATCAGTCAAAGATTAGGGACTTTCCTAGTGTGTTTATCACTGTCAACCAACATACAGTGCAAGCCTTCCAGTCCAACCAATCAGATTGATTTGTTCCTTCTGTGGTTAGGAACAGCCATCGTTTCTAGAGAACTAAAGATGACATAATGACTATTGGTATGCTTTAAAAAGAGGTGGATCAGCTGTTGGAAGGTTCTCAGCTCCCCTCGGGCTTGGGAACTGACACTTTGTTTCACCCCTGTAGGTAAAATGGAGTCTGAAGTCAAAATGGCGGTACTCAGCCCAACGTCCTTTTGCCTGCACCCTTCAATACCTTCCTCACTATGATGGACTATGCCCTCAAACTGTGAGTTAAAATACACCCTTCCTTCCTTCCTTCCTTCCTTCCTTCCTTCCTTCCTTCCTTCCTTCCTTCCTTCCTTCCTTCCTTCAGTTGCTTTTGTAACAATTTGTCATAGCAACAGGTAACAAAGACTTAAAATTATCATTTGTTATTGTAAGTTATTTGTGATTGTATAGTGGAGTTGGCTAATTATAATTTATTGTAGTAGCTTATGATGATTATAGCTCATGAGTTTGCAGTTCTGCTGTCTGAATCAGGCTTAGCTGATAGTGTCCAGTCCTGCTCAGAGATCTGTCAGCTGCCTGACCTAGGTTGTCCTTAGGTGGAGGAGTCTGTGTCCCCACAAGTATTCTTGTCCCCCATCAAGCCATCCTGGGCTCCTCCACAATGAAGCACGGGTTCATTCTGGAACTTGGAGACACTGCTTGTCCTCCTTAGCTTTGATTGTCAATTTGACACAGCCAAGAGTCACCTGAGAAGGACTCTCAATTGAGGGGTTGCCTAGATCATAGTGACCCATGGGCATGTCTGTGGGGATTGTCTTGGTTGCTAATTGATACAAGAGGACTCAGCCCACTGCGGGTGGCAGCATTCCCTAGGCAGAGGGTCCTGGGCTGTATAAGAAAGCTAACTATGCAAGTGCATGTGAGTGAGCCAGCAAGCAGCATTCTCTATGGTTTTTGCTTCAATTCCTGCTTGAGTTTCTGCCCTATTTATAAGCTGAAATGTACCCTTTCCTTCCCTTGGTTGCATTTGGTCTGAGTGTTTTAGTACAAAAAATAGGACATTGTTCTCACTACATCCCATTCCCCAAGGCAAGTCTAGAGGCCGTATAGCTTTTCTTACTCCACATGGCCCAAGTACCAAGAGCAATGCCCAGGCTGAGAAGGATACAAGGCTACACTCCTACCTCTGTGGCTTGCCATTGCAGCTATACCATCTTTCTGCCTGGACTCCATGCTTCAGACTTTGCTGACTGCAGCCCCGAAACCCCAGGTATGAAAGAGAACAAAGAGACTCACAAAAGAGCACATCAGTGAACTACTTAGTCACCACTAGTGTTCACCTGTGCCCCTGTGACCCAAGGAAGCTGGGCTTTCGATTCCAATACCGCCATGAAGTTAGCTCTATGGACTGCATACCCTACATGGGATGGAGGAAGAAAAAATACCTCAAAAAATTGTTCAGCCTTCATGAACATCGTAGACCTTCTGTGAGAGCTTGCCCCACATCCTGCAGGAGTGTGTGGGACCATGGTACTACAGTGTGCTACCACTTGGAGACCAGTGCCTGGAACCAAAGAAGAATGGCCCATAGTTTCAGCAGCTTCAACGAGTGTCACTGGCTCCGTTGCTCCTGGGACATAGTAAGAGAAAGCATCATGTAGGCAATATGTAGAACAAAGCTGCTTAATTCATGACAACCAGGAATCACAGACACAGGAATGGGCCAGAGAGGGGGAAAAACCACCCTTTTAACATATACTTCAGTAACCTACCTGCGCATGCTCATAACTCCTGCATCACGGTGTTCACAGAAGGATCAAGCAAATTCAAATGTAGGCCGTGCTTCTGGTTCCCCACACTCCACACGACTAAGTAATATATATGTAGGAAATGTGCCCTGAACCTCCAGGGTCCTTCACACAATTTTTAGGCATCACAAGCTAAATAGTAACATCCTATATTCCCATTGTCAAGTGAATTTAAGAAAACAGTAGTGGTTTGCATAAGCCTATGTGCATGCAGTCTCTTTGCATAAGCCTTAGAGACTCCTGTGACTACGTGTGTGCATGGGCCAGCTTGCATGCACACACTTCAGTGGATTTCTATGTTAGAGTATTTATTGCATCTTACTTTAGTCTCCCCAGACACCAGCAACAGCAGGGGCCTCACTGTGTATGGTATGAGTGTTTAGAAATGGTTCAGACACCCCCACTGAATGCCTACTAAGGCTCGAATGGGTTAAGTTTGAGCAACAAACACCCTTTGGTCTAGAGAGAGAATATCACACAAGAAAAAGATTGTCATGTGACACTCTGGATACTGTGTTGTTTTTCTTCTCCCTAAAGCCCCTGCAAATCTAGTTACATGTGAACACACCTTCACACTTAATTGATGCCCACCTGTATCTCTAGAGAAGTGGAAAATTTTTCTGAAGCCTGCAAGGGAGGGCTCTCTAGGAGTCCTCTTATTTTTCCACTGGGTCTTTTGCTCTTGTTCTCTGACCTGAATTCTGGCCAGTTCTGCCTAAAAGAGATTGCCCAGTCCCTGGGCATATGCAGAAGAGGTAGTTGGCTGATTTATAACAGCCAGGATGGTAAAACATGTTTGCTTAGAGCACTGTGTCCAGTTTCTATTCTCCAATTTCAGAAAGCTAATAAGAAAATTGATTTTCTTGCAGGGCATAGGAAAGACTTATTTCTTATATGCAGCACAGGGATTAATAATTCATTAATGAGCTCTATGTGTCTGTGGGGAGACCCATTTGACAATGCTACAGTGACATTTAGAAGGCTGTCTGACTCTTCCTTAGGCACACAGATGATTGGCCTCTTTCCTACCGTCATCTCTCACTTCCAGAACAAGGTCAGCTGCATAGAACAGAAATCTCAGAATGACAGTCACAAATGAACGAAATGAGCTTTGCTCTACTATCATGACTTAATAATAGTCTTCAGACACCTAAGTCACTTCTCACTCATGGTCATAGGATGACTTCTGAAGCACCTCTGAAGCGATCACATGGTCATTCCAAGCAACAGGGAGAAGGTAGAGAAAGGAACTCCAGCCTCTCTCAATTGAGTCAGACCTTCCTAGAAGTTCAAAGAGGTCTTACCCTGATCTGCCCAGAACTTGATCACCTGCTCACACCTAGCTGCAAGGGAAGCCACCAAAGCAGACCTGAGCAATTGCCATCTGTATTAGTTACTTATCTCAGTAATATGACAAAATACTTGACAAGAAGCAACTTAAGGTGAAATGGGCTTGTTTCAGCTCACAGTTTGAGGGGCTACAGTCCATCATGGTGGGAAGGCAGGGCTGCAGGAGCATGAGGCAGCTGGCCACGTGACATCCATCATCAGAAAAAAAAAAAACAGGTGCTGGTGCTCAGCTCCCTTTCTTTCTCCTTTTTATTCAGTTCAGGACCCCACCCAATGGGCTGATGCTGCCCACATTTAGGGTGGGTATTCCTTCCTCAATCCAGACTAGAAACTTCCTCATAGACATGCCCAGATATTTGTCTCCTTAGTGATTTTAGATCCTGTCAAGTTGACAATCAACATTAATTATTTTATACTTCTTGTGCCTGAGAATGAAGGAAGAAGAGATTTTAGAAATGCTCTTCACACCTCAATCTTTGACAACGGTACTTCCCCACCCCCCATTCAGCAGCTTATCTTACAAAACCCCAAGGCTCATTTTCTATGTTGTGTTCCATACCTAACTTAACATGTCCTACCTGCTCTACCTCCAAATGCATTCAGAATCTGTCTGTCTCCTCTGAACTCCACTCCACAATGCTACACACCCACACTGGCCCTCCACCACTCCCTTCACAGTGGAAGAACGTGATTCTGCCACTCTCTTGCTTGATATGACCCAACAGCTGTCTCTTACACTGGGAGTGAACACCTGAGCTCAGTGCACCCCTGAGTTGAGACTCTATGACTTCAGTCTGAGCTCATGTCCTACCTCTGAACCTCAGTGGCAGTTGACTGCCATTCCTCCCACACCTTAGTCCCTTTCCACCACAGGCTCCTGCATTCACACTTTCATCAATTTGGGCACCATGGTCACCTGACATTTGTGAACTACTATCATGGTGATAATGAACTAATCTCTGAAACTATCCTTCTAGAGAGTCCTGTCTCAGTGCAGATGTCCTTCCTCACAAACACCTCCCATCACCCAATATCTGGATATCAGTCTCTTCATGCCCTTCTCCAGGCACTCCTCAGCTCTGTTCATCTTCTCTTCCACACTAAACCACCATTGAAATTGTCTGATGTACTTCTTGGCTGCTGAATAGACTGACTCTGCTCACTAGAACCCAGTCCAACAAAGAGAGCTGCTACCTTTAAAAAAAATTTAAAAATTTTATCCTCTAGTGAGTTTATGTATAATATATGCACATATAAATATACATACAATATTATAATATTCATCCCTAAATTTCCACCCCTACTCTCCATGTTCCTCCCCCAAGAGCACTCCTTCTCAAATTAAAACATATTGTTTTATAAATGAAAAAAATGTTATTCAAATTAAAAAATAATAATAAAAAACATTGTTTTTTGATAACCTTCTAAGTCCAATTGGTGTTGCACACACATATGTGCATGTGTGTATGCCCCACCCCCCACTGGAAAGTGGGAAGCCTGCCGGAGGCTGTACCCTCAATAAAGAGTGATTCTCTCTCCCCTGGAAACTACCAACTGCCAATAGGTCCACCAGTGAAGGGTGGGCCTTGGAGAGCACCTTTACCCCCACCTCCATCTATGCCAGCCAGAATTTTGACTGACTTGATTCTGGGCAGATAACCACAGCTGCTATGGGTTCATGAATGCAATAGCAATACTAAGTGTAATACCAGGCTCTAGTGCTATGCCTGCCTGCCTGCCATGTGCTGCCACACTCCCCACCCTGATGATAATGGACTAAACCTCTGAAATTGTAAGCAAGCCCCAATTAAATGCTTTTTTAAAGTAAGAGTTGCCATGGTTCTGGTGTCTCTTCACAGCAATAGAAAAGTAACTAAGACACCACCAACCATCCTCTGGGAAGAAGCAAACCGTAAGAAAGACAAACCCAGGAGTCAAGTAGGAGCAAATTTGTAGAGAGTGGATCTTGGGAGCATCTTCCAAGACCCATGCACCAGCCGCTCAGAGCTGTTGACTTTCTGATGATTTTCTGTCCAACCCAAAAGAACCTAGGAAAGAGAGCTGCTCCCGCCATGATGAAATTGTACCAGACAACTTAATGAAAACTCCTCAGCTCCTGCTGAGACATTAAACAGTTGATTTCCACACGGAAGCCCCCATCAGCTGTGACAAACGCATTATAAACTATTTCTTTCTCTCTTTTTTTCATGGAAATGTGAAGAATGACAAAGATTAGCCAAAAGATTTTCTCCCAAATACAGCCTTGTCTTCGGGCTTCACCACTCACCAGCGGAGACGCAGCAATGGGTGGAGAGACAAGAATGTGCAAGATGGATTACACTCTCACTTCCAATTATAATGAGCTATTAATTACACAGCTTGGCATTAGCTTGGATTATAAACCACTCGTACAGAAAGAGAGCTATTTTTCTCTTTCCAGCTGAGTACCCCACGATCACCTTCCAGCAAGAGAGATGAAGCCTCCGCTTAGAGAGTTTTACATCCCGATGGTTAACATTGCAAGGGAAGAAAAAAAGCAACATTAGCTCCCAGAGATTGAAAATCACCTGTATGTGGCTAGTAACTCCTGGGCTGCCCAACAAGACTTTACATCTCTGTGGTTGACCTCGGATTGAAGCTGGCACCTCAGATGTCTGCAGTTAACCTGTTGAACATGCTTGCTACCAACTGTCAGGATTCCACGGCACACTTCCTGTGCTGATCAGCTATGGAGACACTGATTTCAGCTGGGCTAAGAATGGCCCACACCACGTTTGAGTGGGACTTGGCTCTATATTTCCTTCTTAACACCCTCAAGACTAAAGCCATGTGCTCATCTGGCATGAAATGAGTGGGTCGATAATCTCAGGCTACTGTATCTGAGGTGTGCTCAGCTTTTAGACTCAACTCCTGCACTGTCACCATTTTATTAGTATGTTCTAGAAAACCAAAGTCGGGCTTTAGCCAGAAGCTACTGAGATTTTATTGCTGTTCTTGTAATTGTTATTATTTGAGACAGGGTCTCACATAGCTCAGGCTGGCCTGGAACTCACTATGTAGCCAAGATTAATCTTACACAAATGATCCTCCTGCCTCTACTTCCTCAGGGTTACAGTCATGTGCCACAATGTCCGATTTTATGTGGTATTGGGGAATCTGTAAAAAAATAAAATCTAAAGGTTCATTTAAAATTAAATGTACCTTGAGTCATCTTAGTCTAGCTACAGACAAACAGAAAATACAGAGATCCTGGGAAGCCAGCTAACCCACCCCAACCTCAGTTAGTCTACCCTCCCACCCCCACACACTCCCACACACACACAAACTAAAAGCAAAAGACCAGGAAGACAAAAAAAAAAAAGGCCCAAATAAAGCAACATGAGACAAAAAGTCTACCAAAGTATCATTGAGTCCACTATGTTTCAGCCGTCTAGTGCCGGGCATGTGGCCTGCCTTTAAGTGTGATTTATATACTCAGTGAGACTCCATTGGAGAAAACTTTTTCCTTTGCAAGTGAGTGTCAATTGGAGAGAGCTTCTTGGTTAGGGTTGGGGACTTCCGTCCACTTCCCCTCCCAGCACTGGAATGCCTGTTAAGTTTTAAAATAAACAGGATGTAAAAGAGAGGCGGACTCACACAGAGCTTTTGTTGATGGGAGGAAAAAGATAAATGAGCAAGAGAGGGGAAGAGAGAGACTCAGTTGATGCTGGGTTGCACTACCCTTGTTACTCAGATAATGAGGATGGAGAGGAAGCAGGCTGCCTTAGGGTTACAAAGTCTGTTCTCTGCCTCAGTCTACCCCAGAGCTCATGCAGACTTTGTAAAGATGTAAAATAAATTGCCTTTCTTTCAAGTCTCCAGGGCTCTTATGATGCAATGAGGGCCTGGACTTCTGCTTGGATCAAACCCATGTGCATACCAGGCAAGCACTCTATGAAATGAGCTGCATCCTAGCCCCACCCATGAAATTCTCAAAGGAAACTCAGTTTTAACTTCCCGTGAAGATCTCAAGGCCTCTGGGAAGAGACTGTCTCCAGTGAGGCACCTCCAAAGCAGGTGTTGTATTCCATGCCTACAGCTTCTTCATCCCATAAATGGCATGTGTCCTTGGGTCAAGGTCACTGAGGAATAAGGCAATAGGGAGTTAGTGACTATTTTTCTAGATTTGTCTTCTTTTATTTATTGTTATCCTTGTTTTTTTTTGTTGTTGTTGTTGTTGTTGTTGTTGTTGTTGTTGTTTTGTTTTGGGTTAGTTTTGGTTTTCAAGACCATGTGTCCTGGAACTTGATTTGTATAGGCCAGGCTATATGAAAGGTGTGCATCATTACACCCAGCTGTTGTTTGTTTTTTGAGGCAGAGTCTTGCTACTTAGCCCAGGCTGCTCAGGAACTTCCAATCCTATATGCTGGGAGAGCAGGCATGCGTCACCACACTCAGCTATTTGCTTATTCTTTTTAATATAATTTGTTTTCTTTGTGTGTTTGTGTGTATGGTATGCCTGCCCTTGTGTATGCCTGTTGGAATGTATGTATGCATTCCCATGGATGCATGTTGGAATGTACATGCACACGTATGTGGAGGCCTAAGGTTGATGCCAGAAATCTCGCTTCTTGGTTTTTTCCATCTTATTTTTTGAGTCAAAAATCCACTCATCAAACCCAGAGCTGGTCTTGACATATCCTCATTTCAAAAGCCTGTATTTAAGAAATTAAGACACCCCCCCCCCATCCCACACCTCGTCACCTAAATAACCAGGGTGGCCCTGTGAGATCCAATCCGTGGGCAGGAAGTGTCATGTACCATGAGACAGTCCCACCACACACACACATACACACCCTGGTGATGTTTCTCCTTTTTGGGTAATGCCATTTATAACACAGTAAAAAAGACTGCACACAATCCAATTTTATAACCACACAATTGCTTAATTAAGGAATCTATTTCTGACCATGTGCATTGTTGGAAATCTCCTACCATTGTAGTTGACATCGCGATGGGGCCATCAATCTCTCTAATCATCTCTGATTGCATCCGTCGGGTAAGTCCCAACAAGCAAAATGGTTAGGCAGAAGACAATTCATATTTTTAAGGCTTCTGAGGATGGGTGTATTGGGTTATACATATATGTGCTTAAGTTTTTATTGCCTTCATTATTTATTTTGCTATTTATGCTATGCATTTTAAAACCATCGTTTACAACTTTATAAATATCAGTTAAATAGTTATGAGTTTGGAAGCTGAGATAAATTCTGCATTATAAGTTCTGGTGTATGCATTAAATATAGATTTATACATATACTTAGATAAATATTTAAATGTTCGTCTATTTTCTCTATGTATACTATATGTACATTGTATTCCTGCAACCGTACTGGCAGCGGGAACATGTCAGTGGCACAGTGTTACTTCGGAGAGTACACTGCCTTGTGCTCTGATGTGTGGTTCACCCCAAATTGGAAATTACAGCCCATGAGGTCATGGGAGCTGGCAATGTTTGCACCCTTAGTATTGTTTTGAGTCACTAAAGTTCTGGCCATCTGTCATGGAAGCCTTGGGGACAAACCCATCTGTGATGTCCCTTCTGGTCTCACAGGGCAGAAAGTGAATGTTTTAGCTTAGTCTGTTAGGATTAAGGATAGCATGTCACCTGCTGCCCACAAGTCCCTGTCCCCACAACCCCTGAGATTTTATTCAGTATTCCTTGTACACAAAATGGCAGAAAATCCTGGGTCTTGTGTTCATTCATCTGGTCTGTAAGCATCCCGGGTCTGATGGACACATGAAAAGACAATATTAACTCAACAAGGGAGCTGCCTTGAACTGTGGTCCCTACAAATGCATGTCCCAAACTTCAGTGCACAGTGATGTTTAGAAAGGAGTTATCTACAAACAACATAGGTGGCATCCTCCTGGAGCAGAGTGGACCCCAACAAAGGTCCTTGTCAGACAGAGGGATAGGCAAGACAGGGACACACAGGGAAAGATGCCAGGGATAGATATCAGAACAATGGGGCCACATGCCAGGGATTGTCTAGTGAAACTATGACCTGGCTGAGGTTGGAGTATCCTCCCCGAGAGCCTGGGATGGAACACAACCCTGCCTGCACCTTCATCCCAGGCCTTGACTGCCAGAACTGTGAGCAGATAGTGTCTATTGTTTCAGTCACCAGAAATGTCCTCACCAGTCATGGAAGTCTTAGGGATGAATTAAGCTGAAAGACTTCCATTCATTCTAGGCTCACACAGCCCTCTTTCTGCCCCACAATTTGCCCATAGGGGCTCCTGGCACAGATGGACCTGCCTTGCTTTGCCGTGCCTTCTGAGTGGGTCTCACTGGTGGTGGCCCAGTGGGAAAACAGGATGAGGAAGGAGAGGGCGAGTCCATGGAGTCAGAGGACTTGCGCATGCTTGCACATGCACACACACACACACACACACACACACACACACACACATAATGAAAAAGCTGCAGCTCCTTGAAGGGCCCCCTGCACATAGCTCCCCTCCAGGCAATCCACATCCCTGCTGTGTCTTCAGGTCTATGGAAGGTACATGTTTCCCCCACACTAGCCCCAGGCACGTGCAATTGGCTGTGACTTTCCTATCTGCAGTCATATCTGTGTAAGAAATCTTTTTACAATACCTTCCTTAGTATTGATGGGCCACTTGTTTCCATGGGGCTATGACTGACAGGCATTTGTGGGTGATGAGTGACAGTTACATGGACACAGTGTTGTATTATTCCATTTGCTATTAGGTATGCTCAAATGTCTCTATGACAACTAAAAAAAAAATTACATGAGAATGGATTTCTTTTCCCTGGAAGCGGAAAGGTTATAGTAGCCATGGAAATATACCTCTAAATCACCTATCTGTGAGAACATCCCAGCCATCACCTCTCTCTGCCCTAATGCCTGCAAGATGGCTGCTAGAGTACCAGCCATCACACCTGAATTCTGTCTGGCAAGAAGGAATGCCTCCTGTCTCTCCTAGTGTCATTCTAGGGAATTCTATTTGAAACTCAGACTGGAGATACACAGCATTGTTATTTAGGCACATTGCCTCTCTGAGCAAAGCCACACTTATGTTGACAAAGAGAGAGTAGATACTTGACATCCATGTGCAAATAGCATTCTTCACCCATGACCAAGAACTCATTCTCACAGGTCTCAGACCATGTGAGGTCTAAAGCACAGAGGTCTCGCCAAGGTTGAGAAAGCTGTATGAGTTTGCTGAGTTGCTGTCCAGGACACAGCCTGAGTCAATGGTCAGGCCACAGCCTAGAGACCTGATGTGACTTATTAAGCCCCATGCTTGATGGAACTCAAGTGGAGAGCTGTCACTTGTGACCTGATTGTGCCATACTAGTGAACTTTACAACTCTCATGGCCTAGCTTGTCCCAACTGAGTTACTACCAAGTGTGTCCAACCTTTGACGTTTCCACATCACGTCATCATCTACAAAATTCATACTCAAGAACTGCACAATCAAGTCACAGAGAGAAAAAGGAATCTCAAGATATTTTGAGTAACTTTGTGGTCTGGGGTTCGGCTGCACTGGTAGCCATCCTTGGCTCTGTGCAGCCCAGAGGTTGGGCATGCCTACTAGCCTCTCTCACCACAGTCCAGCCCAAACTGGCTGAAACAACAAAGATAAATTATTCTAGAGATAAGATGGTGGTGTAGTAGGGAGCCAAGGCATAAGACTGGAAGGAACTGCCAGGTCTAAGAAATGGAAAACCCTGTCTGTCTATCTATCTATCTATCTATCTATCTATCTATCTATCTATCTATCTATCTATCTATCTATCCATCTATCCATCTATCTATCTATTTTGAGATAGGGTCTCAGTATGCCTACTATGTAGCCCTGGCTGTCCTAGAACTCATTGTGTATAGACCAGGCTGGCCTGTCTCTGCCTCTTAAGTCCTGCCATTAAAGTATATACCCCCAACTCCTAGGCCAGGGTAAGCTTTTAATCTCTCTCTCTCTCTCTCTCTCTCTCTCTCTCTCTCTCTCTCTCTCTCTCTCTCTCTCCTCCCTCTGCTGACTGTGGATCAGATCCAAGTTCTCAGCTACTGCTCCCGCACCATGCCTCTATGAATGCTGCCATGCTCCTGACTATGATGGCTGTGGACCAACCCTCAGAAACTGTAGCCCCAATAACCTCTCTATATAAGTTGGTGTCCTCACAGCAACAGAAGGGTGACTAAGACAGGGACTTTCATGTCTTGAACCTGTATTTGAATTTGCTGATTTTCCCACTGGCTTCCTCCTTCATGTGTGAGGCAAAACCTCAAGTCATTTCCTTTGCATGACATGTTGATAACTCTTGGAATGTTTTAAAGATTTTTTTTTTATTTATGTGTCTCTGTGTGTGTACATGAGTACAAGTACCCTGGAGGCCAGAGGAGGATGCCAGGTACTCTGGAGCTGGAGTTAAAGGAGGTTGTGAACCACCTGATATGAGACCTGGGCACCCAAGTGGGGTCCTCTGTAAGAGCAGTACACATTCTTAACCACTAAGCCATCTCCTCCAGTCCCAGAATCTGGAATTTTATGTGTGACATACTGTTCACCCTTTGATTGGGGGTAGTGAGTGGGACAAATAACCCAGCCTGGCAGTGGGTCAACAGGTCCAGAGGATACATCATGCCCAGCCTGCACGTGCATGATGATCATGTGTGAAGATGATAAAGAAAAGCAGGGCAGGAACATGGAATCCTGCCTCTTACCTGTATATGGGACCCCAGGGGGCAAGAATCTGCTTTTGCTGTAACATTTTCTCTAATGAAAATTCAGAAAGTTTTTTTTTTTCATTTACAAAATTCCTAGGTTATTTTCAAATTACCTCAAGCAAGGACAAGTTGAAGGTAGTGTATGTGAGTGAATTTCTCCAGCCACCTTTTCATGTGTAAGAAAGAGAAAACCTTTTGTTTTATAATACACACACACACACACACACACACAGAGAGAGAGAGAGAGAGAGAGAGAGAGAGAGAGAGAGAGAGAGTTTCCCTTCTCTCCATTCTGACAATTAAAACACAGATATGCCTGAGGCCTTCCAGACAGCTTCTGAGACACATCCAGACCTTGCATTTGAAGGCCAAAAGCTTTCTTCCCCAAAGCCCTACTTTGCCATTCAGACTTTGGTGTTCAGGATAGCTACTCTTTCTGCTGACATTCAAAAGCCTCTTCTGAAGTCCAAAGTCAGGAACCCGACTCCAGGGGCTGGAGGGACAGCCCAGCTCAGTGATGAAGAGCATATGCAGCTTTTGCAAAAGACCTAGGTTCAGTTCTCAGCACCCACACTGGGTGCACACAACCCCCTGGAATTCCAGCTCCAAGGAACCTGACACCCTCTTCTGGCCACAACAGGCAATGCACACTCACGCATATACCCACACACATACACATAAATAAAAGTAATAAAATTAATCTTAAAAAAAATAGAAACTGACTCTGGTATCAGAATGGACGCTGCTCATTTCAGCTCTCAACTGTCAAAAACTTGTGCGTTTGAATTTTTCACAGTGAACCACACTCAGGTGTGAGGGTACACAATGCAAAAGTACCGAGGTTAATGTTGATGTATTATCCTGCACTCAAAAGTAAACCTTTGTTTTCACAGATACAGTAACACAGTAGGATAGCCTATGAGGTCTGTCCAGACAAGAATTCCAGTCTTATATTTAATACTCATTTGTCAGAATTTCTGCCATGATATTCTCAACAGGCTATGGTCCTTATACCATACAAGTTGCACTTCAGTGTGTGTGTGTGTGTGGTCCCCAGGGGGGCAGAAGAGGGCATCAATCCCCTAAAGCTAAAGTTTCAAGTGGTTGTAAGCTGCTGGATATGGGTGCTGAGAATGAACTCAGCTCTTCTGTAAGAGCAGTACATGATCTTCACTACCAAGCCATCTCCCCAGCCCCATGCATCTCATTTAAAAAAAAAACTTTTTAAGATTTATATTGTGTGTATGGGTGTTTTCCCTACATGTATTACTGTGCCCTAGGAAGTCAGAAGATGTTAGATCTCCTGAAACTATAGTTATAGACAGTTGTGAGCCACCATATAAGTGCTGGGAATCAAACCTGGGTCCTCTACAAGAGCAGCCAAGGCTCTTAACTGATGAGCCCCATGCATCTGTCCAGCCCCATGCATCTTTTTTTTTTTTTTTAATGTATAAGAGTGACTTTAGTAAACACTGGCTGGTAGATCTCTTTGGAAAAGCTCTCAATGTCCCAGAACCCTTCAACACATACAACAAAGCGCTGACTCATTCCACACTGTTGTGAGGTCTTTCAGAGGGAGCCTGTGTGTATGTGTAATCAATACATCTCATTTATTGCTTCCTGTGGCCATGCTTCACCTGAAGCAAAGGGACATTTCATGCCACGAAAAGTCTCTTTCTCTCTTACACTGAGTTTTTAATTTAGGAACGGCAAAGTCTGAGGTGCCGATCGATAGGATGCGCTGGCAGAGAACTTGGACGATAAATGATCATCTGATGGAGAAAAGGTGAGTGGTGACCTTAAAAGGCTAAGTGAAAGCCCAGAAAAACACTGTTCTTGACATTAAAAGTTATTCAGTGATTATGCAAAGCAGGCTGCCTGTAGCCACAATCAGGATCTCAATTCAGTATATCTCAATGACTGCTACTACAGCAGGGCCACCCTATGCAGGGTCACCTTCTTTTTCCCCAGTCAGATTCCAACTTTTCCACTGGACCCAGGAATTAGTATATCTCAGCATCCCTTGCAGCTATATGTGGCTATGGGATAGAACCCAAAGTAAGAATTATCTTGAAGAGAAGGACAGGTATTTTTGTTCTTTCCTAGAATTTGGGCATAATGGAAGAACACAGGCAGCCTCTTCATACCATGAGCTAGTAATGGCCACCTCCCCCTTGATGAGGGGGGAGGAAGAGCCAGATGGAAAAAGCATGTGGGCCTCTCACTCCATAGAAAACTGGAATCCCCAAGGGAGTCTTGTTATTTGAGAGGGAGAGAATTAATTTCCCTGTTGTTTAAACCACTACTCATTTGGGGATTTTATGGTGTGTGTGTGTGTGAGAGTGTGTGTGTGTGTGTGTGTGTGTGTGTGTGTGTGTGTGCGCGCGCGCACATGTGCGCGCACACGTGTGCCCGCTGTGTGTACATACCTGTGTGTGTGTACTGGGAATTGAACTCAGGACCTATAGAAGAACAGTCAGTACTGTTTACCACTGAACCATCTTTCCAACCCCTGCATTATTTCTTTGAAACAGTCTCTTACTGAGAGCCTGGAGCCAGTGTGGTGGCCAGTAAGCCCTAGTGACTCTCCTGTCTAGGATCCTCAGAGCACTGTGTGTATAGACATATATAGCTGTTAAATAGCAATTTCCTCTGAGTTGAAACAGTCTACCAAGAAGCAAGCAATTCACAAGTCTCAAGAAGACCCTGAAACTGAGCAGTCACACAAGCCCTCTCCTTCCCCAAGATTATATAGGTAAGGAGAGCAGCTGAGGAAGAGGAGACTCTCTGACCTGTAAAGCTGCCTGCATCTCTTGAGGAGAGGCACCCAGGCTAGCCTTTGCAGAGAGTAATCTATGCTCTTATGCAATTCCTTGCCTGCACTCCTGTGCATAACACCAGCAAACTCACTGGTTCACCAAGCTGGACCTTGGTAGTACTTGTACATTTGTGTGCCATGGATTCCCTAACTGGGGCAAGTAGTTTGTTTTCCAGGAAAAGTCACACAACAGTGGTCAAACCTGGCTTTTTTCATAGGTACTGGGATATAAACTCAGGTCCTCGGCTCACCTAGCATCTCTGAGCCATCTCTTTAGGCCCTATTTTTTTATTTTCCTGTTGTCAAACACAGTGTTCCCAGAGTCCTCCTCCATATCCCTGTTAAGTTGGTCCCTCTGATGAATGTTTAAAATGTTTTAAATACCACCACAGGGGCCGGAGAGATGGCTCAGCAGTTAAGGATATATGTGCAGATGACCAGGGTTCCATTGCCAGCAGCTCACAGTCATCTGAAACTCCAACTCCAAGGACTCTGATGCCCCCTACTGGCCTCTGCGGGCTTCTGAACACACATGAACCCATGCAAGCTCATTCATAGGCACATAAATAAGAGTAAATCTAAATAAGTAAATAATGTGTTGTTTGGACTGTAAAGCAGAGTTGCAAATGTTAAGAAAGAGACAGGAAGTGCTGGGGTTGAACAAATGGAGGTTGGGGAGTATTTCAGTAAAATGAGAAGCTATCCACAATGGCTCTTAGGTTGGGCAACCCAGCTGATGGCGCTTTCTGGAGAGGCTGTAGAACCTTGGGGTTAGAGTCTTGGCCAATGGAGGGAGCCATTGGAAGCATGCCTTCAAAGAAGATAGTGGTCTAGCATAGCTTCCTACCCCAGCTCTCTGATCAGCCAAAATGTGAACAAGCTAGGCCAAAGCCCCCACTGCCGCACAGAGTCACCACAGCCTCCAGGGCAGATTGAGTGGCCCAGCAGATGAACCAAAGGAAACCTGACCTCCCTTCTGTCACTTCTGTTAAGGATTCTGTTGTGGTGACTAGAAAGAGAACGGATACAGAAAGGGGCCAACATGATGGAACTGTCATGAGTGCTGGGAAGTAGTGATAAGACTCACAAGAGCCCAGCGGTACAAGGTGCCCGCTAAGTGCTCCAACATTTGCAAACCTCCCTCCTGGGCCTGAGTGGTGAGCGTGTCTCCCACACACAGGCCTGTGGCAGCCCACCCCACACGCCCCCTTGAAAGGACGGCTGCAATGTGCCCCTCTGAGGAGGCGGGATCTTCAAAAGATAGGGCCTACTCTGTGGTCTTGAAGTCGTTATCAGCCTTGAGTAGGGTTCTAGGACCACTGCCTCTCCCGTCAAGAGGCTTCTTCACCACAGGCCCAGAGCAATAGAAACTCCAACCTGTGAGCCTGCATAAACCTCTCTTTACCACTTACTACAGTGCCTGTTATGGAAAGGGAAAACTATCAAACTTTCGTCTAAGTCCATGTCAAACTCCTCTGATCAGACACTCGAGTATCGTATTTGTTGTCTTGGGGACCATAAGAGGTGCTCCTGGGACGAATAAACAGCGGCTGTTTCTGTATGGCTGATGGTGGCACGCTTTATTAATTAAGAACCCTCCCTTCCCCAAAGTGCACATTGCGGAAGATGTGACGCTGGCAATGTGGGGCTCCGGCAGTGATGTCATCACCAGGCCAAGGAGAGGCATGCATTCCAGAGCATCCCACTTTGTAAACAATGACACCTGACCTCTGCACACCTCTCCCGAGGTGGGTTTGAACTCTGGGCTCAGAGGAACCTCCCTCTCCTTGTACCCAGAGAGGTTAAGACCCCAGCTCAAGCCAGGGGTTAAGGAAATGGGTACATCACTCAGCCGGCCTCCGGACGCTAGGAGCTCTGTGGAATTGCTGCTGCCTCGGGCTGGAGCCTTCATGAAAGTGACTGTGCTGGATCTGAGGTACGGAAATGGGAAGTCAAATGATACCCTATGGAATGGTGCTCTGTTCTGATCCCTGAAGTACTGACTTACACAGTTTACTTCCTTCTAGCCCGCTTCTCTTAAAAAGAGATGTTGCTGATAGTGTTTCTTTCTGTCTGTCTGTCTTTTTCTTTCTTCCTTTCTTTTTTCTTTCTATTTTTTGTAGAAAAGCAAAAGGCCCAGGATGTGCCTTCAGAGTTGGAGCAGGGACAACACGGGTGCTGAGTCCTCCTCAGTTCCCTCCAGAACCTGACACTTTCTTTGCATGTGTGGCTCTCGGCTGGTCTCCTTCTCTCCTCCTCCAAGCTGCTTGCTTTAGCACAGGTGACTGTTCCATGTCCTGCTCACAGTAAGTAGCACAGCACAGCCTTGCTGGAATTCAGCAAGAGGGCACAGGAAGCACGGTGTGCTGGTGTGGGGAGATCCTACTGACCCCCAGGCTGACCTCCCCATACCCCAGTGACCTCCTGTCACAGTCTTGGGTGCCACCATTGTTCAGAGTCTTCCAGTCCTATCATCTTCCAGGCTCCCTGTGACATGATACAGGTGGGCAGGACCCGCAGGGCAACCTGGCCTCTTTTGGAAAGCATCCCTCGGGTGCACCAGTGAGGAGTGACATGTTCTGACACAACCCATTCACAGCCTCTCCAGGGCTTTAATAAGCATGCCAGCCGCAGCCTGGGCCCCCACATACCCATCAGAATCCCGTGATGGGCCACAGGTCAAGATCTGTTTACAGTCCTGACCTTTTTGTTTCTTCTTTGTGAACTGGTAAGGATAGTCAGAGCTCACCCTGAAGTCAGGAGAAGGATCTGCACTGTGGTTGCTTAATAATTAACCCCCATAAGTTGCAAAAGCAGTTCTTGGAACACTTCCCCAGAGGCCCCTGAGATGCACCCCCATCACCTACACTGAGCTGCAAACATTTCTGGGGACTGAGTCCTAAGCACTTTCAGGAGTGAGCTATAAGCCCATCCAGAACGGAGCTGTAAGCACTTTTGGGACTGTGTTCGCCACACAGGAGAGTTGGGGGTGGATATATTCCTGGGGACTCTAGGATTCCAGTGGTCCAGGACTAAGTCCCATCTTTTGGCATCTACCCAGAGCTGAGCACCGGATGGTTGTTGGGATAGATGTGGTAAGCACAGACTTCCATCGTTTAATCCTCCAAGCTGGCCTCCAGCTTCTGGATGAGGCGCTGGTAGGTGTCTCTTTCCACCTGCCAGGAATGGTGTGTCCTCACATACTCCCTTCCATTGGTCACGATTTCCTTCTCCAGTGCAGGATCACTAACCAGTCTCTTTGCCAACTGAATGAACTCCTGAAAGACAGGAAGTGAATGAGAAACACACATGAGCGATGAGTGGAGGGGAACCCGAGGACCCGTCTGAAAGCCTATGTCTGCACCAGTTCCTGGTCATCCACGACCACTCCATCCCCTACGTCAGACTCACAGCCTAGAGAAACAATACTTCAGTGCGGGACCAGGGCGGTGCAAGCATTGGGATTAAGAAACACTGTATAGGTCGGGCTGGAGGGATGGCTCAGTAGGTAAAGGCGCTTGCCACCAAGCTTAACAACCTGAGTTCAATCCCCAGGATCCACATGGTGGAAAGAGAGAACCGACTGCCATACCTTGTCATTTGGTCTCCATGTGTGTGCTGTGGTATGATCACACCCACACTCATACACACACAAATAAAAATATTTGTGTGTTCGTGTGTGTGTGTGTGTGTGTGGACACAGACACAAATATGTGTATACACACAAACACACACATGCATATGCCATATCTACGACCATATGCTCACACTGTTCTGGCAGTTTTGCAGTGGCCAGTAACTATAAGAAGCAGCATGCACGAAAACACACACACACACACACACACACACACACCCCTATACAAATTTGTGCCCATAAACACCTGCCGTGAACGCCCAGGGAAAAACCCTAGAGCTGTCAATCATGTCTCTCTCCAGTCTTCCCTAGTCCAACAAGAATTATCTCTTAAGCCTATTTCTGCAGGGGGAGGTAGTTGCACAGAGACTCGCTCATGGTCAAAAGTGCTAAGGATAAGTGACTCAGCCTCAGATGGGATGTGTTTATCACACCCTCCAGGTTCAGGGAACACGGTGTGGGGTGTTAAGATTGTAAGAGCTGAAGGAAGGGGTACAGCGCTGTGAAATGTTGCGGTTGTGGAGCATTTTCTAAATTATTGCTGCTTAATGTGAGAGGGTCCAGCTCACTGTGGGTGGTGCCACCCTTGGGCATAGTTGCTGTAAGAAAGCAGGCTGAGAGCCGGGTGGTGGTGGCAGCTCATGCCTTTAATCCCAGCACTCGGGAGGCAGAGGCAGGTGGGTCTCTGTGAGTTCGAGGCCAGCCTGATCTACAGAGCGAGTTCTAGGCCAAGCCAAGGAGCAAGCCTGTAAGCAACTTTCGTCTACGGTTTCTGTTTCGGTTCTTGCCTCCGGGTTCCTGCCCTGCGCGAGTTCCTGGCTTCCCCCAACGATGGACTGTGATCAAGATTTAGAAGCCACAAGAATCCTTTCTTCCCCAAGTTGCTTTTGGTTCATGGTGTTTTATCACAGCAGTGAAAGTTAATATGAGAAAGAGAGTTATTGTCCTTAGTGGTGTCGCCACTGGTAAGGAACCCATGCTCATGAGAATAACCACTGGGTCACACAGAGGAAGGGGAAGAGAGGGAGAGAAAAGGGACTCATTGGGAAGAGAACCAAATGGGAGTAAAGGGGGACAGGAGGGTGTAAGTGAGGAGTATGGTCCGAATACATTAACTATATGTAATTAATATATGCTAATGAAAGAACTTTAAAAAAAAAAATCCTGTCTTCTTTCTTTGCAGTGACCCAGGAGTCATGTTTTCTTCCCTCTTTTTATGGCCACAGCCAGAGACCGTCACCTCACACACTGGACACAGAGAACCTCTTCCTACCACAGGCAACGCCTGGTGCAGAAGGAAGCTCTCAGGTTCAGGGTCAAGTCTGTGTTTAAGTTCTGCACTACTTCACCCCCATGTGTGGCTCCCAACACGCTAGTTACCACCTCTGAGCTCACACTGATCCTCTGGGAAGGAGCAAAGGCCACTGTCCCTGCAGGCCGAATGCAGAGCGTGGGAAGGACCTGGGTTTTTGTTTTGGCCCCTGTAGCTTCCCTTCAGACCATGTGTGTATTATTAATTGAGACACTGAGAGGCTCCTGCTGACCAGTCCTTCATTTCAAAGCCTTTCAAAATTAGAAAATTAAAATGTATTCTGATAGCAAAGCTTGCTTAGGGAGAAGAAGGGAGCACTCATTATTGATTCTGCTTGCATGGAGTTCTCAGGAGTGCTGAGCCAGGAGGCCGGGGTTCAGTTCACAAACTCCCCTTCCTGAAGTAGACAAGGAGGCTTGAGGATGGGGCTCAACTCTCCACTACAGTAGTGGCAGCAATTGCTACAGAATCTCATGCTGAGAGGGCTGGGGCAATGGCTCAGTCAGGAAACTGCTTGCCTTGCCACCATGAGGGCCTGAGTTCCATCACCAGCACCCCACGGGAAGGAACCGCCACGTGGCAGCACACAACTTTGTAGTCTCAGTGCCAGGGAGGCAGCGACAGGTGGATCTCCGGGGCTCACTGGCCAGCTAGCCTAGCCTACTTGTGAATTCTAAGTCAATGAGAGACCCGGTCACAACTAAAAACAAACAAGCAACCAGGTGCAGTGTCTGGGGAACAGCAGGGAAGGTCATCCTCTGACCTCCACATGCACCCCACCACCTGAATGCATATTTGTGCCCACAACACACACAAACACGCACGTGTGTGCGCACGCACACACACACACACACACACACACACACACACAGACTCTCATGTAGGCACTCATAAACACTTAATTACTATTATTCTCTTACTCCCTCAGCTCAAGTAAATTCCAACCAGGAGACAGTGCCTCAGAGTTTACTGTCAAGAAGGAACATCCACATATTCTCAAAATTATTGTTAATTAAATGTTGAATGCCTTTTATAGCTGGCAATATAAATAGCAACATTTATGTGGGTGGGATTTTATTTTTATGTATTATGTTACACATTTTCTAGTAAATTGGTGCTCTTTTCACCATAAAAACACAACATATTTATTCTCACTGCGTAGCAGAACAGCATTCTTATTAAAATTATTTGAGGGGCTTAGCACTTGGGAATATTACTTTACGATGCCGGCCATATCTGTGATTTATCTGATGTAGAGGATTGGGGCTGAAGCTGGGGCCCTTGCTTACTACTGCTGCAAAATGCAGGGCGATCTTAGAGCAAAATCCTGAATGACAGGGGATAGGTTCTGATAAAATACCCCTTTGTTTGTTTGTTTATTTGTTTATTATTTTCTCAGCAATGACGTCTGGGAAGAGGGCTTGAAGCAAGAAAGATCAGAGGTAGAAATCGGATGTACCTGATGGCTGCCTTAATGAGAACTAGGGAAAGGGGTGGAAAGAAAGAAGAGAAATAGCCAGACCAAAGAGAGAGAGAGAGGGGAAGGAAGGAAGGAAGGAAGGAAGGAAGGAAGGAAGGAAGGAAAGAAAGAAGGAAAGAGAAAGAAAGGAAGAAAGAAAGAAAGAAAGAAAGAAAGAAAGAAAGAAAGAAAGAAAGAAAGAAAGAAGGAAAGAAGGAAAGAAGGAAAGAAGGAAAGAAGGAAAGAAAGAAAGAAAGAAAGAAAGAAAGAAAGAAAGAAAGAAAGAAAGAAAGAAAGAAAAGAAAGGAAGAAAGGAAGAAAAGAAAGAAAGAAAATCTTACTCCTGGTTCTGCAGTGACCATCTCCTGAACCAGGATATCATCCCTGTGAGTGGATGAGCTACCTGCCACTCAGTCATTTGCTCTTGGTCAAGGACTGTCTGCTAAGCCAGCTGCCACATGCCCCCATCCCTCATGCGAGGGTCTTCTTTACATTGTAGATCTCTCACTCCACTTGTTGGAGTCAAGTCCGATTTCCCCTTCCCGGAACTGCCAGTGGACAAGACCGGGACCTTGCTTTTATCGGCACGGGGCGTCAGAAGTGATGTTGTTTTGACTTGCAGGCAAAGCTTTGAAGAAGGAAACTTCAGTAGACTTTAGAGGTAAAATCTAGCTTTAGTTTTTGCTTTACTCTCTCAAGTCTCCTTGGAAAACGATGCAGAAAGATGCTTGGGGCAGCCACATCAAGGATACAGATACAATGCCACTTCAAGAGGAACGCCATCCTGGACCACCCGGCCTCCTGATCAGCTATAGCAAAAGTGGACTCACTGGGCTGGCAGCTGGCCTCAGCTGGCCCAGCAGCAGTACCTCCATGGGACCCAGCTGCGTAATCAGCCATGAACACGCCAGCCTGCAGCCCAGTCCTTACTTCCTCCTTCCTCTCAGATGAAATAACCAGTTTCTAATGTAATGTGGTCCAGGGAGAAGACTCAAGCCCAGCCGTGTCTGTCCATACTGACTATGGTGCCGTGCGTGGCAAGCACATCATGGGGTAAGCCCAGCCCATTCCTTTGACTCAAGGACAGAGAAACCCTGAGAGTCACTCCCAACCAGCAGAAGCTGCCAAAGGTCAGGAGCTGGGATGCCTTTGACTGGTCCACACTCCATGGCCTCCCATGAGTCCGGGCTATGTGTGCGACATCAGACTGCCTCTCTGAAACCTACCAGGGGCCACCACAGCAAATAGACCAAAGAACTGCAGGGCAAAGGCCACAGCAAGAGGTCTGTGGAGTGCGCACACCAAATCGGGGCAGAAGCCGATTTGCAGTCAGTCAGCCTGGAGCAATCACAGGTTCCGCACGGCTGTCACCCCAGAGCACGCCAGAGTGCTGACTTAACCAGGTCAAGCGGCTTCGAGGGAGACGCTTTCCTCTAGGACCAAGGATACAATCTTGAAAGCCACCAACGGAGATCAGCAAAAGGCAGAGAAGGTGTGCCCACTAAGACAATTAAAATAAAAACCATGTACAGAAATCTGGTTCCTCGGAGAGCTCAGAAGTGAGTGATCATGGATGCTTACAAATCGGCCTTGGGAAAACCATGTGCCGCCCATCCCCAGTGAGTAGCCAGGAGTGGCACAGGCAGTGAGTCACTCAGAAACACAAAGAACACAGCCAACAAAATAAAATGAAGGTGCCGGCCAGAGCTGCCCCCAGGGTTGCAGGTGTGCGGAGCCTGGCTCAGACACCTGCATAAAGTTGTTTGTTTGTTTGTTTGCTTTGTTTTGTTTTTCGAGACAGGGTTTCTCTGTGTAGCTTTGTGCCTTTCCTGGAACTCACTTGGTAGCCCAGGCTGGCCTCGAACTCACAGAGATCCGCCTGGCTCTGCCTCCCGAGTGCTGGCATTAAAGGCGTGCGCCACCACCGCCCGGCAAGTTTGCTTGTGTTTTAAGTGGTACAAACAAGCATTGTTTGTCTTCAGATAAGTAACTGTTTTCTGTTCGCTTCCTTTCCATGTCATCCTCTATTGCTGGTAGAGACTGTATCCTTTCTTTTTTTAAAAATAATAATAATAACATTTTTAATTTATTCTTTGCAAATTTCATCTACGTATACAAAGTATCTCAATCCTATCTACTCTCTCACCCCAGCTCTCTCTCATGGTCCCTCAACACATCTTTCCAGCTTCATCTACCTTTAAAAAAAATATAATAATAATGGGGGGGGGGTAAGGGGAGCACACCTTTAATCCCAGCACTCGGGAGGCAGAGCCAGGCGGATCTCTATGAGTTTGAGACCAGCCTGGTCTACAGAGCGGGATCCAGTAGAGGCACCAAAACTGCATGGAGAAACCCTGTCTTGAAAACAAAAACAAAACAAAAAGAACTCATTGAAATTAGTAGCACATGATTCAGGGTCATCCACGAGGCTTTGAGCAACCTACCAGTAGCCACATACTCCCTCCCCCACAGCCATCAACTGCCAATGGATTCTCAGCTAGGGCTGCAGCCCTGGGAAACCCCTACCTGATCGGTGCTGGAGTTTTGATTGGCTTGATTGTGGGCGGGTCTTATGCCGGTGACCACGTATGGTGGCTTGAATGAAAAATGTCCTTCACATCATGGGTGATGCTGTTTGGGGAGGTTTAGGTGACACGGCCTTGCTGGAGAAAGTAGATTACTGGGGGCAGACTTTGAGATTAAAAAGGACTCCACTACCGCTACTGATTTGCTCTCTGCTTCATGATTCCAGCCAAGGATGGGCGCTCTTGGCTTCCTGCTCCTGCCCTGTGCACCACACTGTCCATGCCATTATGGACTCAAACCCTTTAGAACTATGAGTCAAAAAATAAAATAAAATAACCTCTTTCTTCTATAATTTGCATTGGTCATGATGTTTTATCACAGCAATAGAAAAGTGAGACGCATATCCCTGTGAGTCCTTGGGTGTAACAACCATGTCCTGCCCAGCAGACAGCATTCCACAGCTCTCCTCCTCAGCTCCTGGCCCTGCCCTCCAGGAGCTTGGGGCTGATGAGGAGGCAGCTGGCTCGTTTACAGATGGCTAAAAGAAGAAATTAAAACCGCGCATCTGGTGCTGGGGTGGGAACCTGGCGGTTACCTCGGCCAAGGAGAGCTCAGCAACCAAGAAGCTAGCAAGGGAATGGTATTCTGCTCCCGAGACCAGCCCCTGTGGGCCACAACCAGTGGGTCTGGGCAGAGGAGGGCATGGTGGGCACTAAGCAGTACCCCCCAGCCTGGCCTAGCACATGCATCACTACCTATAGGTGATGGGAAGCACAGAGGGTTCTCAGACTTGGTGGATGGAACTAAATTTTCATTATTTCAAACAGGTTCCTTTGGCTGCCCAGGACCTGGAAAGATGCTGCAATGGAGGTGGCTGCTGAAATAGACCAGGTAGGACCAGGTGCTGCTGCCTGGCAGAGATGGGACACAGTGGATATTGGGTTCGGCTCTGTCTTGGAGACAAAGCCCACAGGAAGTGGGGACAGTGGGAAATGAAATGTAAGCAGAGGCAGCAGGCAGGTGACTGGGCCCATCTTCCCCTCTAGCATTACCCTGCCTGCGACAGCCCAAGGGCATCCTCTAAGGGATACCCCAGACACCTGCTGACTTCCAGGGTACTCAGCAGCCAGCACCTTCTTTACAGTGAACTCCCACTCAGAGCAGCACTGTTCTGCTCCTATTCAGGGACACCATTCTATCTGCCACACACCTGGGTATCAAAGCGGTCCACCCACCTCTGTGCCTGGTGAGGGATCTTGCAGTGGGATTGGGTGAGCCCTCATAGAACATAGGCAGACAGAAAGAGTAAGGGATGGGAGGAAAGAGAACCCTTCCTTTCAACCCCTCTGAGCCACAACTGGCCCCTTCCCCAGGAGGCAGATCCATGTCCAACTCATTTTTGTTTGGGCGAGAATACGGAGGAGGCAAGCTTTGCACGTCAGCTGGTGACTGTGCAGAAGCTGGGATAGTCGGGGGTCACCATGGAGCTCACTGGAGAAACCATGCACCCTCTCGACCTCATATTTTGGGAGAATTCTTGACTAATAGGGTTCTCCTGATGGTGCCCCCACTCTCCTGACAGCTAGGCCCACACTGAGCCCAGGTGATGCTGAGGTCTGGGCCTGAGCTAACCCCAGGTGCAGCTTCTGTTTTCCTGAGGCGTGAGCCCCATCTGGTGGCTCTTTCCACCCAGCCACACTCATCAAGCCCAGGCTCCATGGGTCACTAGGGGCTTGATTCCCTTCAGCCAGACTGTGCCCTCTGTCTCCAGCAAAAGGGCGGGGGTCTCAGACAGGAATAGTCCCTTCTCCTGATGAACCTGGGTAAATAAAGGCAGAGAGAGAGAATCCACTGTGGGGGGCTGCTAGGTGGGACAGTGCCAGAATTCCTCTCGAAAGGAAAGCACAAGGGGAGGAAGGGAGAAAGGGAAGGAAGGAGGGAAGGAGGGAGGGAGGGAGGGAGAAGAGGATGATGGGATGGAAGAAGGGAGAGATGGAGGACAGAGTCACAGGGATAGAGAGAGGTGAAAGCAACTATCTGCATGTGTTCGGAGCAGAGTGTGTATGCGTGCGCGCGTGCGTGTGTGCGTGCCTCCATTTCCGCATCTTTCACCTGGGCTGGGCTCTTTGCAGGACCTCAGTCCCTGGGGCACAGATTCACTCTCCCAACCCTCTCATGGTAGGTGTGACTGTTAGGACTCACAGAGCTAACCCTGCATGGTGCCTGTGCACCACACCGAGAGGCTGAGCCGAACCCCTCTGACAAGCCCCGCCAAGGCTCTTCCCTGGCCAGAGCCCCTCTGTCCAACATTGGAGCCCTGGCCTACTCCTGCTGGGGCCTCCGAGCCTCCAAATGCACAGGGACTGGGATCTGGATGCTTAGTGGCTATTCAACTAACTTCTATTTATTTTTGTACACCTATTATTTGTGTGTGTGTGTGTGTGTGTGTTTTTTTAAGGCATGTAGAAATCAGAGGACAAGTTGCAGGTCGGTTCTCTTCTCCTACCATTTAGGTCCCATGGATAACACTCAAATCTTCAGGCTCGGTGGTAAGTGCCGTTTTACCATTAAGTGATCTAAATTTAAATTTGAAGATTTTTTTGAATAATCAAATCTAGAAAGTATCAGTTTTCGAAGCACTTGGCATGGCATTTTCTACTTCCAGAGAGTCTTGCCTCCATCTTCTGGATGAAGGAGCAGCATGCAACAGAAAGAAAGCCATAGTGCGTTTCAAATGGGAACAAGACCCCTGAGCACCACCACCTCCCAGCCTGGACAAATTCCCTCTGTACCGGGGAGACCGGGATGGGGGGGGGGGGCGCGGGGCAGGAGGATCAGGCATTCGAAGTCACGATGGCTATATATAGTTTGAGAACAGCCTGGGCTACATGGACATTGCCTCAAAAAGAAAAATTATATATATATGAAAACATAAGCTGGTCAGGCAGTGGTGGTGCATGCCTTTAATCCCAGCGCTTGGGAGACAGAAACACGTGGATCTCTGTAAGTTCGAGGCCAACATGGTCTACAGAGTGAGTTCCAGGACAGCCAGGGCTACACAGAGAAACTCTGTCTTGGGGAAGAAAAGAAAACAAGCCATGTTACCCACTAAGGATAAGAGCTGGCGTATAACACGCCCTTTATAAACATTAGCCACTGCCCTCATTAATATTCCAAAATTTATTTCTCTCCAGTTGTCTAAAGAACAAATAGAAACCTTCTAGAGGATAAGCATAAACTTCCCTTGAAGAGCCCAACCCTGTCAGAATATGAATTCACAGTTTCTATTAAATGTCGTATGGATCTTAATTTTGAAGCTATAAAACTAAGCTATAAAAAACACTGAGGAAAGTCACTGGACTCATTTCTTCTTAAATGGAGAAATAACCAGATTGTTGAGGTAATGAGAAATCAATGCTGAGCGGGTTTGGAAACCTTCGCTTAATTGAAATTTTCCAGAGGTGAAGTATACAAAAACAGAGATTATTCTGTGCTCACAACCATGAAATACGTTTAGTCATCAAGTTTTTAGATTAAAAAAAAAATAGATACAGATAGAGATATAGATAGATATTAGGTAGAGATAGAGATAGATATTAGTTATAGATACATATAACTATAGATAGATATATAGTTATACATATAGATAGATTTACATATACATAGAGATATACACATACATTAGATAGACATATAGCTAGATAGCGATATTAGATATAGATAGATAAGGACACAGACAGATAAATATAGATGATCCTGTAGGCTCTCCTTTTAAGGTTCCCTAAGCAAAAGCCCTGTGCCACTTAGTTTTTGACACCTTGACCCAAACTAGAGTCACCTGGGAAGAGGGAACCTCAACTGAGGAATTCTCTCCATTAGACTGGCCTGTGGGTATGTCTAAGAGTTCTCTGAGTTCGAGGCCAGTCTGGTCTACAGAGTGAGTTCAACCCTATCTCAGGAAAAAGGAGGAGGAGGAGGAGGAGGAGGAGGAGGAGGAGGAGGAGGAGGGGGGGGGGGAGGAAGAGAAAGCAGACTGAGCAGGCCAGTAAGCAATGCTTCTCTATGGTTCCTGTTTCTGCTCCTGCTTGAGTTACTGCCCTGGATTCCCTCAGTGATGGACTGTGTGAGCAGGATGTGTAAGCCACATAAAACCCTTTCCTCCCCAAGTTGCTTTTGGTCATGGCGTTTACCACAGCAATAGAAAACAAACAAATACAGCCCTTTCCTTCCAGATTCCTCTCTATGCTCCTGCAAGTAGCTGTCACAGGGTCGGGGGGTGGGGGGACGCTGGTACAGGGTCTGGCTTTAACCATTCATTGTCAAGGAACAAGGGCTTAGGGGCAGGTGCTGTCTCAGAAGCTAGAGAACCACACAATGTAGAGACCCAAATCCTGAAAGTGGGCATCAGATCTCCATTTCACAGTGGCAGGAGTCACTCTGAAGGGTTGAGCCCTCTAAAGGGGGCAGAGAAGAAGGCTGCAGACAGAAAGGCGGCCACAAATAAAACCAGTGGCTGAGCACCCAGTTCCACGTAGCTGTCACCAAGGATGAACTTCTGAGCCTCCTAAATGCTGGATTTATAGACACACACCGCCATGTCCGGTTTCATACTATGCTGGCGCCTAAACCCAGAGCTTCATGCATGCTAAGCTGGCAATCTACCAACCGAGCCACATCCCAGCATCTAAAATGATCCTCTTTCTAGAGGTCAGTACAGCCATGGTTCTTCCATCTCCACACCCAGCTATGCTGCGTGGTCCATGGGTTTCTCATGCCCTCTTCCTCCTTCAAGTTTATATGGTGTCTGGCCAAATTCAATGTTTATATTCCACACACCAAATCTCTTTCTTCTGCTGCCCGTCCATTGGAGCTATTCTGAGTTCCCAAACTCTGCCCAAGGTTCCTGGCTATATACCCCACGCCCTTACACAGGCCCGACCTTCCCAATCTCTCTGAACTCTTCAGTCTTTTATCTTCAGCCCTACATGGGGAGATCATGTTTCTTTATGTTCTCAATGAAGAAATAACAGCTAATACAGAAGGAGTAATTATATTTAGCTTGGATTCAGAGAGCATTTGTGCTTACACATTATTTATGTCCTATGCATTTCATATATATATTTTAACTCCCAAAGCTGGTGGTCTGACAGGACAGTTCTTCTTAATAAATGAAAAGCTGATTCTCATACATATTTGAATGCATATTTGAAACTACATTTGCCTTCTCTGCAGCCAACCAGTGAGTGTTTAAATCTGAGTTCCGCAGCAGTTGAGATGAATACAATGCCAGCCTGGAGTTCCTTAAAATGTGCATTATTTGTTTTTCAGGCCATGTATCCCACCACGCACTGGGTATAAAGTCTGACGGAGATGATGAGGACAACGAAGTATGTGCGACATCCGTGTCTCGCGCACCATTTCAGAGTGTGAAGAATCACAACTCTCCCCACATAGAACCAGGAAAACCTGCTGTTCTAAACATCCTTGGTAAAGCCAATGTGAAGACGCTGAGTTGAAACACATCTGCAAGTAAGTTCTGTTGTGTGTGTGTGAGTGTGTGTGTGTGTGTGTGTGTGTGTGTGTGTGTGTGTGTGTGTGTGTGTCGGGGGGCGGGGGAGGCTGTGTCTGTGGTTCTTAGTGGCTTGTGCTGACCTGAGAGGACTCATGAGAAAGGCGGGGAGCTGTGCCTCCAGACCCCAGAATGCACATAATGTCACAAGGTACCTACCAGGAGGCTAGAGGTGCTGTTCTTCTGCTCCACTTCTGCTCCCCAGACAGTCACTTAAGAGAACTCCTGTGCATTTGTTTTTTGTATTTTTGTTTGTTTATGTGAGGTTAGTTATGTTTTGTTTGGGTTCTTTTAGAGAAAGTGTCATGTAGCTCAGGCTGGACTCGAACTAGCTACATAGCAGAGGTTGACCTAGAACTTCTGATGCTCCTGCTTCTACCTCCTGAATGCACTTGGACAGGTGTGGACTACCATACCTGGTTAATGCACGCTGAGCAAGCCCCTCAACCAACGTAGCTAAAATCCTCAGGTCAGAAGTAACCCTGGATTTCTAAAAAGCTGCATGTCCCTCCAGGGTGAGAACAGAAACCACAGAGCTTGGCTGGGCAGCTCTACCTCCACCTGGAGCTGGGAGGTTTACAAGGAACCCAAATTTACAGCCGTCCTTCATACAGGCTGATGGAAATCACACCAATAAGGCAAACACGGGAAAAGGACTCTCTACCTGAGGATTTGAAAACAGCAGTCCTGTGACTCCATGCTCCACCACAGCCGAGTTCCCAGGGATGTTCCTAGCCAGCACGGGAACTTCTAAATCCATGGCCTGTGAAGGTGGGAGGAGAGAAGATGGGGGGGGCGTCATTTAAGGGTCAGACAAGGGGGGCCGGAAGATGGCTAAGGTCGTAAAGTGTTTGCTCTGTGAGCATGAGGACCCGAGTTCAGTCCCCTAGGATTCGTGCTAACAACAAAAACATAGCCAGGCATGGTGGTGCAGATCTGTAATCTCAATACTGGTTATGGGGTTGGGAAAGACAGGGGGATCCCTGGAGCTTACTGGTCAGCCGGTCTAGCCTAATTGTCAGGCTTGAGGTTGTGAAAGAGTCTCTCTCAAAAAAAAACTAAGGTGGATGGGACTGAAGAGATGGCTCAGAGCTTAAGTGTGTTTGCTAGTTCGACTCCCAGCACCCAAGCTGGACAGCTCCCAAGCACCTGTGACTCTAGCTCTGTCTGGGGGACCCAACGCCCTCTTCAGGCCACCATGGCCACTCCCACACAGGTGCACATATCCCCACATAGACACACATGAGTATACATAATTAAAAATAAAAATACATCATTTAAAAAAAAATTGGCAAATTCTAAGCGTTAGACAAGCTCCGAGAACATGAGCACACTGAGAAGCTGGTCCCGGTAGCGCTGCAGCTGGCAAAGCCATGCGCTAGACCGTGTTTGGAAATAGGCATGCTCGCATTCCGAGCAAATCCGCCGAGTGAGCAGGGAAAGACGGAGGAGGGGGTGAGCTTGGCGCTCGGGATCGACACACAAAATGTCAGAACTCAAGACACGCCAGCCTCCCTTCCATAAACAGGCCCACCTGGCCTCCCTCGACCAGCTCAACTTCTTCTTGTGGGGTGGACAGAACCTCCCTGTATGGCTCTCTAAAAATCCCGGCAGCCAGCCTCCCACCCTTATCAGAGCGGCCTGGGGTTTCTAGAAACAGTCTTGATTTTTCATGGCTGAGAAGTCAGGAGAAACTCAGCTGCTGGAACTCTACCCCCAGAACAATACCGAGGCTTTGGAGATACACAGCTCCCCTGCGTGTGTGGCTTGTGAAGGAAGTTTGCTAGTCAGTCTTGGGTCACACCCCTGAGGTTAGACACGGCCCTACCTAGATGTTCTTGAGGGGGGGTTTGCTTTGCTTAGATTTGGGTGGCATGGGTGATCATTCTGAGTGATCACTGCTAGTGTGGGGGAAATGGCTTGATCTGAAGATGCCCATACAGATGCACAGACTGAGCAGAGGGGGTTTTTGGTGAGGCTGGCCAGTGGCGGGTAGTACGGTGACTGTACAGCCCCTTGCAAAAGTCCTCATCTCCTGCAGCTTCCACGGCCCAAATAAATGCCCTGAGCAGCTCTTTCTCATCCTGACATTTTCTTTTTTTTTTAAGTTTTTCGAGCCAGGGTTTCCCTGTGTAGCTTTTGCACCTTTCCTGGAACTCACTCTGTAGACCAGGCTGACCTCGAACTCACAGAGATCCGCCTGCCTCTGCCTCCCGAGTGCTGGGATTAAAGGCGTGTGCCACCACCGCCCGGCTAGGTCTGACATTTTGTAATAGCTTTGGCTTTTCAAAAGGGTAAGTGATGGCCCTGCCCCATGAACCCACATAAAATTTTCTCTCTCCCTCCCTCCCCCCTCCCCCCTTCTCTCACACACTCTGACACTAAAATGGTACAAGTGTTTTGAAACACTCCTACAGGGTCCTTCAAGGGTCTCCCATCACTATAGCCGGTGCCGTTCACTCGGGTCAAACATTCTCCTTCTTGCTCGTAGCTTTAGAGCATAGCCCCTCCTTCCACCCAGGTTGTCAAAACCTGACCCAGAAGGTCCGGTGTCCGTCCGTGTGTGACTGCACCTACGGTTGGTACTCCAAACAGGAAAACAGATATGAAGACAGTCCTTTACATCCTTTGTGTGTAGAGGGGTCCGTGGGGATGTGTAGAAGACAGAGGAAAATTTGAAGCAGTCCTCAGCAACTGTCTACCGTGTGTGTGTGTGTGTGTGTGTGTGTGTGTGTGTGTGTGGCCTGGGGCTCAAATATTCTATTAGGCTGATTGTCCAGCAAGCCCCAGAGATCTATCTGCCTGTCTCCCCTCTCCACTGTCACCAGCCCTGGGATAACACTCAGAAACATCCATGCCTGGCTTTTCCTGCAGGTCCTGGGGACTGACCTTAGCGAGTAGGGATTGGAGACCCTTGAAGGACCCTGTAAGAGCGTTTCAAAACACTTGTGCCATTTTGGTGTCAAGAGTGTGTGTGAGAGGAGGGAGGGAGGGAAGGAGAGAGAGAGACAGAGACAGAGAGAGAGACAGAGAGAGAAACATTTTACTGACTGGGCCATCTCCCCATCCCCTTCCTTTAAAGTTATTCTGTGGGGCTCAAATCCACAATATGTTTGAATGGGAAATGCAGGTTTTAGCGTCTGTGCGTCTGGCCAAAGATTTGCTTTTGAGGAGTTTTCAGTGAGAAGCTGTTTTTAGCCAATGGGCATCTGTACTTGCTTGCTCCGGAAAACAGATTCAGAAAGGTCAAAAGGTCACCTCCCTGACCAGTGATGGGCATGTGCTCTGTGATTAACTGCCCTGGCCATCTGAAGTGATTCTGACGAGAAAGACACGCTAATCCCTCCCCCTAAAATCAACTTCATTCAGAGCCCTTCACCCAAAGGTTATTTTGACGTCTCAAAAGACCGCCACATCCACATTCATTTCAAGGGCATCAGGATTGCTAACAGCTGCCTTTTCTGTGAGGCAAGCCAAGACTGAGAGCAATTCCTCCACAGAAAAAGCTGTCTGTGCTGCTTATAAAAACCACTCAGCAGACTCCAGGCTCATGACCTCTCCTTAAGAAACAGGAATTTAAAAAAAAAAAAAATAAGGGCTGGAGAGATGGCTCAGAGGTTGGGAGCACTGCTTGCTCTTCCAAAGGTCCTGAGTTCGGTTCCCAGCAACCACATGGTGGCTCACAACCATCTGTAATGAGGTCTGGTGCCCTCTTCTGGCCTGCAGGGATATGTGCAGACAGAACATTGTATACATAATAAATAAATAAATCTTTAAAAAAAATAAAATAAAAATAAAAATAAAAATGTGTGTTTACATACAGAAGAGCAATTGGGCACCTGCTCTACACTGGTTTAAAAGTTAGTTGCTGAGGGGACAGAGTGCCCCAGTGGCTGGGGCTGGGTGCACAATCAAGGCTGACACTTATCACAGAGCACAGGCCGAACTGGCTTCTTTGCCAAACACAGAGATGACGCGAAGCCGGGTCACGTGCTTTCGGAACAGCTGATGCAAAATTCACACCCACATGGGGTGGCTTACAACCTCCTGTGCGGGGCGTTTACCCTCCAACCCCACAGTTCCCCAGAGTTTTCTTGAGTGCGAGCAGCAGGAAATATTAGAAGGATTTAGAATGTGGAGATAAACAGATAGAAAATACAGGATAGCCTCGAGAGGGCCTGGAACCTTTTCCAAAGGGCCCCGACTGCCTCTGCCCCAGGGTATTTGTTGAAACTCCAAGGGGTGGAGCAAAAGACCTCCTCCCCCAGCACAGCCAAGTGCAGACCATCTCAGACACCTGCATCAGGCCCGGGGTCCAATCATCCTCTCTATGCAGACCTGCTGGGTAAAGCCACGAGGAACCTGAAAACGGGTTCCCACACTCCTGCAACTCCGGCTCCAGGGTGTCTGGACCCCCTCTCTTTTGGTCTTCACCCACAACTGCTCTCACTTGTACATACTCCCACACAGACACATGTGCATACATACAACTTAAAATTCTTAAATAAATCTTAAAAAAAAAGAAAAAAAAAAACAGAGAAGAACAAGCCAGTACCCAATCATCAACATTCGAGCGTCACTTACCTCCAGGATGGCGGCTGACATGCCCTCGGAGACTGAGCTGTTGACCAGCGCGAAGCAGCTCTTCACCACTGCGTGCAGATCTTCCTGGCACATCTCTCGGATCAGCCGCACCCCTGCAGCCCTGAAAGAACAGAGCGGGGATGGCATGGCTGTTTCAGCCCTTCTCAGAGTGCCGCTCAAATTTTAGGTGAACAATTGAGACTCAACTTGTACAGCCAGTGAAGCTGGGTCCCTTGTTCCTGGCAGAAAAAAAAACATGCTATTTAAACAGATACACTGATCAATTATCTCCAAAGAGGCTGTAGATGTCAGCCAAACACATTTGTTCTTCCAGATCTTTTTATTTTTATGTGTATCAGTGGTTGTCTGCGTAGATGCATGTGTACCATGTGACTGCAGTGCTCACAGGGGCCAGAAGAGGGCATCAGATTCCCCTGGAACTGGAATTACAGGTGGTTGTGAGCCACCATATGGGTGATGGGAACTGAACCTGGGTCCTTTACAAGAGCAGCCAGTGCTCTTAACCAACAGAGCCATCATCTCTCTAGTCCCCACATCTTTCTTTTTTTAAAAATCATTTCATTTATTTGCCAGGGTCATCAGTAAAAATTATCATCTTCAAGCAAGCAGTCTTCACTAAGCCAAGCAGAAAGGCACATACCTAGAATCCCACCATATAGGAGGCTTCTGATTCCAGTCCGGCCTGGGGTATGTATGCAGTGAGACATACAAAGTGGTTTGCTCTGGCCTTTCAGCAGATGACTAGGGAGGTAGGGCATCTTACACTTTGAGTGCATTTATTTATTTGCCTGTGCCCTGGAGCCCAGAGCATGACCTTGAGGGATCATAGGCAACACTAAAGGGCGCAGTACGTGCAACCTGCTTGGAGCAGAGTCTGTGATGGGCAAGGTGGGACGCGTGAACCACTCTGCCACTCAGGATTCCTAACGTGCAAGATGCCACCCGCCTGCCACTCTTACCTCCTCACCCGGTCCTTCACTTCCCTTGTAAATGCTGGATCTACCTGGAAAAAAAAAAAAAAAAAGAGGGACAAAAAACACTTAGAAACTCTGACCCTGGGGGCTGGCCCATGGCCCAGCAGGTCAAGGCCCTTGCTGCAAAAGCCTGAGGACCTGATTTGATCCCAGAAACTCACATGGTTGAAGGAGATAACAGACTCCCCAAAGTTGTCCTCTCCCTTCCACACATGCACCATGACATGTACACACACACACACACACACACACACACACACACACACACACACACGAATGCACACACAATAATCTTTTTAATGCTGACCCTTTAGGTGGGGACAGATGATGGAGCAATTAACTAGCATGCATAAAGCCCCGGGGTTCAAATCCCCGACACTGCATAAACGAGGTGTGATGACGAAAGCCTGTAATCTCAACACTTGGAAGGAGGCAAAAGGATCTGGAGTTCATCTTCTGCTGCACTGGCAAATTCCAGGGCAGCCTAGGATATTTGAAAGACCCTGCCTGGGGCCAGGGTGAGCCTGATCTAAATCTTAGTCTCCAGAGCATACATTGTAACAGGATGAAAGTCCACCCTGTAGTTTAGACAGGAAGAATATAGGGGGAAAAACAGAGGAACAGCCCAAGTCTAGCAGTAACACAATGAAGACAAGGATGGAAAAGAGCAGTGAGCATGTGGACTGTGTGTACCACCTTTAATGAGAGTCTCAAGGTTTCAAAGGACACTGGAGCGTGCCTACACACAGGACAATTTACCAGTCCAATCCTGCAGGGGAAAGCCTTGCTTTCTTAAATGACGCAGATGGAATTTGTCATAAAAAGCAATCAAGAGGATGCGTGGGCAGCCTTAGTAAGCCTCAGACAAAGTAGTTTGTGGAATTAAAGTTTGTTTTTAATGGGGAGCCCTCTCAGAAATACAGCTTTAAAATCAAGGACGCTCCCCTCAGCTGATGAATAACAAACTGTGTTTATCCACATGAGTATTATTCAGACACAAAGAGAAAGGACTAAATTATGTAGTAACATAAACGAAGCCAGAGAACAGTATGCTAGGGCAGGCGTAGTGATGCACACCTGTGATACAGCCCACAGGGGCGGAGGCAGGAGGATCAGAAGTTCAAGGTCATCCTTGGCTACATACATAGAGTTCAAGGTCAGCTTGCTGCCATGGAGCTGCAGAGTCACTCATCAAGCCTCTTTAAACTCACCACAAACTCCTCCCTGAGAAATCTGACAAACTGCATCAGACAGACTGGTCCCTCCGTGTCTCCCGCCTGACTGCGATTACCAACAGTGCATGCAATTTTAAAAACAATTGAAAAAGCTTCCCTCAATACAAAATTCTCGAGTCAGCAAGCTGAAGATGGCTCCGTGGGTCAAGATGCTGGCCAGCAAGCCTGGCCGAGTGGGATCTCCAGGACCCACATGCACCATGGTTACATGGGCCTCCTCCAAAACAAATAAGTAAATAAATGTGATTTTTAAACATGAGAGGCCAGGAATAGTGACATTGGCCTTTAATTCCAATACTCGGGGAGGCAAAGGCAGGTGGATCTCTTGTGAGATAGAGGCAAGCCTGGTCTAACATAGTGAGTCATCCAGAGCTACATAAGGAGATCCAGTCTGAGAGAGAGAGAGAGAGAGAGAGAGAGAGAGAGAGAGAGAGAGAGAGAGAGAGAGAGAGACTTATTTTAGGTCAAAAGATGGCTCAATGGCATCTGCATGCAACACATAAATAAAATTACATTTTTTAAACTTTTTTTTTGAAAATCCTAGACATTGTTTCAAAGACACAGCAAGGGTGTGAACCAAGTTCACGAATGCCGGGTGCCAGCAGCCCCTCCTGCCACTGGCTCCAGCCAGGCTGTGAGGAAAGTAGACTCCTGTTCTCATTTACACATTGCCAATAGCCATCATGAATTACAAGCACGCTGGCTAGCTGAAAGCAGATGCCGGAACAGCGAGCTTATAAGGGCAGGTGATAGAATGCCATCTTCTAGAAACTCAGTTTCACTTTCTCCGGAGAGTAAGGGCTGTAGGGTGCACCTTGAATCCTTCCTACTGCTCAGATGCCTGCCCAAGATCCCAAAGGGCTGGTGGTGTAAGTTTACTAACATCCCTGGAGCTACTACGTGGTTGGGAGTCTGAAAGGCTACATTATATCAAACATGAATGCATTAGAATTTGTAATTATTCCTAGGAAGATCTGTGCAGAGAGAGACTCATAGTTATGAACAACAAATTGCTGTGGTTTCAGCTCTTAATAATTAATACTCTGTAGCCACTTAAGCCAGAAGAACATGTGCTAAGCCTTTTACAGTCATTAACTTAGTTCTAGCAACAATGTTATTACAGAACATTTCCATACAGGAGGATTGAGACGGAGTCCTGTAACTTCACCAGAGTGCCAGAGCAGAAAAGCTCTTGGGTCCGCGTTCCCATCTGGGCAGACGGGAAGCCAAACTCTCTTGGTTCTGCTTGATTTCTTCAGATGACTCCCAGAAAGGTTGAGGGACAGAGGCTGGAGAGATGGCTCAGTTGGTAAGTGTTTGCCTTGCAACCATGAGGACCTCAGTTCAGTTCCCCAGAACCCACATTTTAAAAAGCAAGGTGTCAGGGCTGGAGATATGGCTCAGTGGTTAAGAGCACTGGCTGCTCTTCCAGAGGACCCGGGTTCAATTCCCAGCACCCACATGGCAGCTCACACCTGTCTGTAGTTCCAGTTCCAGGGGATCCCACAGACATGCAGTCTGGCAAAACACCAATGCATATAAAATAAAAAGAAGTAAATTATAAAAAAAAAAAAAAAAAAAAAAAAAAAAAGAAGAAGAAGAAGAAGAAGAAGCAGCAGCTAGGTGTCCATACCCATAATCCTAGCTTGGGGGCGGGAAGTGGAGGATACCTGACCCTTTCCCGGAGAGTTTGCCTAGCCAGATCTGTGAGCCCCAGAACAATGAAAGAGTCTGTCTCAAAACAACAAAGAAGCAAACACACACACACACACACACACACACACACACACACACACACACACACCACACACACTACACACACACTATAAAGGCTCTTGAAATTCATGCCACCTTCCTTACTATTCCCTCTCTGGCCAACCTGTGTCCCAGTCTCCAGGAGTCATCTTCCAGGATGCAACTGGCGCCATATCTCTGAAATGCTTTTAATCCCCCTGACGATCCTGGCTCGAAGCACCACTTCCTCCCCAACGATCCTGCTACCTGCCACCGAGGGTCACCGTCTAGGGGAGCTCTGCCTCTCTTTCCTCTGCTCCTGTCTCCTTGCCTGGATCCCACACAGTGACTAGAACATAGTCCTGTGCATGAGGACTCCCTTTCCACTTCCCATTCCCGAGCCCTCATCCTCCAATTATCCTAAGCAACTAGACCCTATCACAACCCTCCAGTGAGAGCCTCCTTCTAGACTGGCCAGATGTCTCAATGGCCAGGGTGCTTGCCACCAAGTACAACGACTTAAGTTTGATCCCTGGGACACCCCCACCCCGGAAAGTTGTCCTTTGACCTCAAGACACGTGCACCATGCCATGCACACACACAAACACACATACGCACACAACTAAAAATAAGTAAAAACTGAAAGCCTTTCACGCTACGTGTCAATTTTCATGTTACTATTGTACGTGGGGTTAGTTACTTCAGCCAGGCCATCTTCTTTTTGTCTCTATTAACATGCTTTGGCTCTCATGATGGACTATTTGAGGGAAAGATAATTTGTCAAAGAAACAAGTTGTGTTCTGAGTCATTGGCTGAAATGCAAAGCTGGAGCGTAGCTAAGGAGCCAGGAGCGAGTCGTAAGATGAAACTACAATTGGCTGGCTTTCTCTGGGTTTACTTTCCACGTCAGTTCATTTTCAAATCTCTTAGTGAAGCCGCGTGGAACAAAACACAAGGTAAAGGGGAAAGGAAGAGGGGATGTTGTTAATGAAATTTTTAAAGGAAAAAAAAAAGCATTGAAATCAGCAGAGAAAAATTCTCATTTCCTCCTTCCAAGGGTGTTTATTTCCTAACAAAATATATTGTTTCAACTCTCGGGCTTAGGGGAAATAATCTTTGCTGTAAGAAGTTACTGGGCAAAGTCATTAAGCTGGCATGCCCAAAGCAAACGTTCCGGCCTCCAGTGCGCCTTATCAAAGAGCCGGGGAAGGTACCAGACAAGATGCTTTGTGAGCAGAACACATGCTCCTCTCAAACGGGGGAACTGAGAGATCAAAGGAGCATTAGAGAAAACCCAAGCTGAGCTCAGAGCATCCTGTAGCGTCCCAGCAGTCAGAGCAGAAAGGGATCCCGGCAGTCAGAGGATCCTGGCAGTCAGAGCAGAAAGAGAATGTTGGCTATAACGGTCCCTTCTGCCTTCTGCATCCACAGGACACTACCCCGAGGACAGGAACTGCTTTTTTATGAGTTTTCACCCATAGCAAACTGGGAGGCAGGTACTACTATCTTCAGTCATTCATTCCTGCTTTGCAAATGGGGAAACTGAGGCATGTGGTTAACTCAGGAGCAGCCAGGTAGTTGTTCCCAAAGTCAGTGAGGGGCATGTCACCCTTCACCATACAGCCACATGGCCCAGCTTTTCTCACGACACAGAGACAGCAGTTAATAGCAGTGAGACCTCGGCAAGCACCCGACATCCATATGCTGCACATACATAATGCAGGTCAAGCACTCATATGCATAGGCAATGAGGTAAATCTAGAAAATAAAATGTGTATACATAAACAGTTTTGAATCCTGTTGTGTTGTGACAGTTGCTGTTCAGCCCCGCCCATCTCATCCTGCCTGCCCATGACTCATCCTCCCTTCCCAACAGGATCTGGTGAGTGGCCTCACACCATGGTCCTGTCCCTATGAAAGGACAGCCTGACACCCTTTGGTGGGAGGGGCTCTCTTTTCCCCAGGCACTCAGCCTTGAGTGACAGTTTTGTCACAATGAGCCGCCCTGTTATGCTCATTTCTAGGCACTCCATCCTTCCAGGGATTTCTCCACTGAGCTTGTAAGATGTCCTCTGGCAGGCTTTGGGCTGAGAACCTTCTTTAGTGATTGCGGCCGGCTGAGGCACGGGCACGTGAATGAGCCTACTCAGCGTCTTCATCAGAATCTTCTACATGAACGGGGCTCCAAGGAGCGAACGGGCAGAGGTAGTCCCTGCTGAACTCTGCAGTGACTCCGCAGTCTCCGCCGGGCTCTGCTTCATGGGCCAAGATCTAGCCAAGTTGACACAATGTTGCAAAGAGCCATGGGACGTGACCTGGAAAAGCTAAGTAAGCCTGCCGAGCATCCCACTTAGACCACAAGTGCTCATTGAGACACGAGTTCTGCAGAGAGCAAAGGCAGAAATGGACCAAAGGAAAAATGCACTCGTTTCAATGTCCAGACAGGAAGATTCAGGAGGCTTGGCAAGGGGGAGGGGCAGTATTAATGTATGCTGCAGCCATTGAAACAAGAATATTAATGGGCGCAGACACTTGGCCACTCGGCAAACCCACCCACCTCATCGGCATGGGAGCCCCTAACACCGCACGCAGCAAATACTCAGAGTCAAGTACAAAATGGCTTACGCCTCCTCCTCCTGTTCCAGATTCAGAGCGATGATGGTAAATTGAGTGCTTGAGAGTGACCGTTTTCGACGTGTGGAGGTCTTGAAATGGTAAAGGCTGAGTTTGTATAGAGAGGTCAGAGAAGAACATCTGAGAAGGGCCCCCGACCCGAGCCAGGCCCGGCACTGAGGAATCTCATCTCAGGAGAGGTAACTGTGTATGTAGACTGGGGGGGGAGGGGGGGGGGGAGGCGTGCCACTGACCCGTGGACAAGTCTGCAGGATATTTTCTTGATTGGTGATTGATGTAGGTAGGGTCCAGCCCACTGTAGGCGGTTATCACCCCTGGGCAGGTGGTCCTGGGTCATACAAGAAAGCCAATTGAGCAAGCCGTGAGGAGCAAGCCAGTTAGCGGCATTCCTCCGTGGCCTCTACTTCAGTTCCCGCCTTCGGGTTCCTGTAGCACCTGAGTTTCTGCTCCGGCTCCCCTTCATGATGGACTGTGAGCTGTAAGTCAAAGGAACCCGTCCCCCGTCTAAGCTGATTTTTGTTATGGTGTTTATCACAGGAACAGAAAACACACTAAGGTAGGAAGTCGTATCAGAGAGTGGGATCTTGATGTGATGGAGCTGACCGTGTTGTTTGGGGCAGGGGCAGGGGGATTATGGAAGGATTTGGGAGCTTTGGGGTGAAGGTGCTGTTAAGTCTGCGGGGCTTGGTAGGCTGTGGTTGTAGGAGACTGGAGGATAATGCTGAGGGCAGTGCAGATGATAGAGACCTGGCTTATGGGTCTCTGAGGGGAGTCTGAGAGTCTCTCAGAGGCTATCAGGACCATCCCTTCATGTGGTGTTTTAAATTGCAAGTCTGGTTTCTGGTTTGCCGGGACTGAAAAGTAAGCTGTGATTAATAATGGTGATTGATGTAGGCTAGCATCATTCAGGAGGAATCTTCTAGAAAGTGTTTCCTTGGAGTTGGCGCACAGAAGCAGTGTTTCAGAAGGTCAATGCTGCATCTCAAGCTGGTGGTCAAACTTAGGTGTAGAAATCCCCCACATATTCCTGGTTTGAGGGTGTAGGGGACTCATGACAGCAACCTGTGGCCGCCAGGGCTGGAGTCCCTTCAGAGAGGTCAGGAGGCCATTGATGGAGGTATAGCGTCAGCTGTAATGGAGGCTTCAGGCTTGAAGGGGTCATGGAGGGAATCTGCGGCTTGATGCCATGGGGGAGGGGGCAGAGTCAGAGTCCCTAAAGGGAGCCCAGAAAGAAGATGCTGGGGAAGGTGCAACCTGAGTTGCGGGTGGTGACCCCAGGATTGAGGGGTTCATGGAGAGAAGCCGAGGCTTGGCAATGGGAGACACCACCGGTGAGGGTGAAGCCTTAGTTTCGAGGAAGACCCCAGAATATTGGAGGTGCCAGATGATGGAGTGACCACTAGGGATGGTGGCAGGTGTGGGGTGAAGCTGACTGGAGTATGCAGGTCAGGCAGTGTGTCCTGTAGTGACAGAACCAAAGAGCTGGGACTGTCCAAGCCCTTTGGGGCCTGGTTCATGATGGAGTCCCAGAACTATTTATACTGCTGGAGTCTGGTTTTGCTTTGGTCCGATTCTAACTGTACCCTGGTTCTTCCCTCTTGAAATAAGAACTGTGTAACTTATTTTGAATTTTATAGGAAGCCACAGTTTAGGGACTCGGAACTTTTAAAATGTTGGGATTTTTCTGAAGACTGCAGGACTTCCAATGCTGTACGGTGTATTATATCATGAGATTAACATGAGATCTCTCTGTGGCCTCTGGCATGGCTATACAGATCCTAGTCCTTGATTGTGTGTGTGTGTGTGTGTGTGTGTGTGTGTGTGTGTGTGTGTGTGTGTATGTCTGTTTTAAATTTGGCTGCACATGTACCATCAGACAACATTTGGGATTTGTTTCTCTCCTGCCATTTATGTAGATTCCCTGGAATTGAACTCAGGCCAACAGGCTTTAGCAGCAAGCACCTTTACCCACAGAGCCATTTTACCAGCCCCTCCCCATCTTGTTTGCCTTTATTAGCATCCCTGGCCTCATTCTAGGTAAACACAATTATTTCCAAAGGCTGTGAGAACACGAGGAACAGCTGTGCATGCTGGGAAGGTCTGCGGGGCACTAGAATAAGACAAATAAATGAGGCTCTGAGAAGTATAAAGTGGTCACTAGACACGGGGGGCGGGGGGGGGGGGGAGGGGTGTTTCACCAGTGAGTGAAAGTGAGGCCAGCTACTTGATTAATACAATGGAGAATCTGTTTCCTTCCAAAGCGCTTCCTCTTGGATGGAGGCGGGAGGCTTAGGAAAGACACAGGGGAGTCACCGTACTCACTGGGCCTCCTGAGGTCCCAGAAGCAGGGAAGCGGTAGCCAGGGAAGAGAAGACTCTTTGGAGGAGCTGTCTGCAAGCGGGGCAGGAAGCCTCGGGGATGCATCATCGCCCAGGCTGGGTGGGATTGTTGGCGTTGGGACTAGCTGCCTTTGGGCCACCTATGTTCCTGTCAATCACGCCCATAATCTCACTGGTTGGCCAAGAGGGACTTGTATACATGAGTTTCCTCGGTTTGTGAACACCCTCTCTATCAGGGTGTCAGTTAGCCTCCCAGCTTGCCTGTCACCACCTGGCCAAACAAAACAAGGTGGCGGGAGAGGCGGCTCGCACTGCACAGACGAGAACCTCACTCAACACCACAGACGGTTTCTCCCTGTCTTAGCTCAGATAAGCTACTGCTGTGATGTGCTACAACTTGGGTGACCAACAAACGTAGCGGACGGTCGCAGAGGCTAGAAGCCAGGATCAAGGCATTAGCAGGCTGAGCATTTGATGAGGTGTGCTTCCTGGTTCATAGGTGGTGGTGGCCTCTTGCTGTGTCCACACGCAATGAAAAAGTCAAGGCAGCTCCCCTGGGGCTCTTCTATAAGGGCACTGATGGCACTGCTGAGGGCCCCCTCCATCCCCTTGATACAGTTACCTCCCAGAGACCTCCTCTCATCACACTGCAAGAAAGGATTTCAGCAGAGGAATTTGGAGGGAAAGGTGCATAGTGGAAAGCCTGGAGCAGAGGCCGCATGAAGGCAGAGTTCTCATGGCCATGCGGATCCCGTGAGGCTAGGAGCATGGCGTCCACTCTGTTTTTTTAAACTGCGTGGGGCAAATGAAAGTCCACAGAGGCCAGAGGCTGGATCTGATGCTGGGGTTCAAGAGCAGTTCTGCGTTCACAGTTTGAGCAGTTAAAGGGTTTCAAAATACGTCGGACCATACATAGAGTTTGGCTTATATATTTTTAAAATACGTTCCTCTTTACATGAACCACCAGTTTCCCCATAAGAATTATCCAATTATCCTTTGCAACAGTAAATTAATTTGAATTAATTGTAATCTTTACAGTAAGTCAGCCATAAAGGTGAACAGCAGCTATAATCTTCAGCTCGCGCTCTCTCTCTCTCTCTCTCTCTCTCTCTCTCTCTCTCTCTCTCTCTCTCTTTTCTCTTTCTCTCTCTCTCTCTCTCATCCACGTGGTTCTGGGAACTGAATCCAGAGCCTTGCACATACAAGTTTGACAAGTGCTCTACCCCTGAGATGACCTAGGTGATTTCCATTTTTTTAAAATATTTTTACATATATACATGTTTTGCGTGTATGTATGCATTACATCCCATGTGTACAGTGCCCAAAGAGCCAGATGAGGATGTTGGACCCCTTGGAACTGAAGTTACAAATCATTGTTAGCTGCCATGTGGGTGCAAGGAACCAAACCTAGGCCCTCGGGAATAGTAGCCAGTGCTTTTAATGGCTGAGCCATCTCTCCTGCCCCATGCTTTTCATTTTTAAAAAGACAAACTATGGGCCAAGGAGACAGCTCAGTAATAGAAGGGCTTACCACAAAGCCTGACACACCTGAGTTCAATCACTGGGACCCACATGGTAGAAACACTCCCTAAGGTGGTTCTCTGACCTCTACATGTGTGCTGTAGACACATGACCACCCCTGCACAGAGCATAATAAATAATAAAATCTCATAAAAAGGCAAATTTACTTCAGTGTCTCAAAGAGGACAAACACCTAGATATATAGAAGAGGAACATAAACTAGTTTTAGAAAATACATTATAAGTCGATAGAAGAGAGGCCGGAGAGGTGATTCCACAGTTAGAGTGGGTACTGCCCTTACAGAGAACCCGAGTTCCATTCTGGGCACCTGACAACCACGTTTGAATCCAGATCGAGGGGATTCAATGCCCTCTGCTGGTCCCAGTAGGAACTGCACTCACATACAAGCATACACACACACACACACACACACACACACACACACACACACACACACACACAAATAAGAAAACAAAATCAGGAAAAAGCAGCCATCAGGTAGGCATTCACAGCACATGGACTCACCTCAGGACCTACAATCACCATGTAAACGTTGGGCTCTTCTTGATGCCATTCTTGGGAAGAAAAAGAAAGAAGAAAAAAAAACTTTGAATGAACCTAACATGGCTTTAGGTCATAGCTAAGAAAACAATTCAGCTAAAACTACAAATTACTCCAGGCTATGTGTTGTACTCTTAGGTCATTAAGCATTCAACCACGCTAAACAGGATCAATTTCATTTCTTTAGAATGCCTATATGAGGTACTGTATGCTTTTACTTGAAGATTTGTTTCTTTTGGGGCTGGAGCAATGGGTCAGTGGTTAAAAGCACTTGCTTCTCTTGCAGAGGATCAGAATTTGGTTCCCAGCACCCACACGGCAGCTCACAACTGCCTGTAATGCCAGTTCTGGAGTAGGGGAGTCCCAATACCCTCCTCTGGTATCCACAGGCACTGTGCACTCATACACAAACACATAAAAATAAGGGGATATTTATAACAAAAAGTGATAGGATTTTTAAAACACTCTTTTGCCTTATAATTATTTCCAATTTTTCTGCCATCCTTCATACCTGAAGCTACAAGTCTACAATAAAGTAATCCAATAAATTACCCTTCTGGCTGTCTCCAAAGTGATCATCTAGAAACGGTTCTGCTTATGTGCAAAGAGCAAAAAAAAAGAAAAAGAAAAATGATCCCACCAGGCAAGATGGCTCACAGTGTCATCCCAGAACTTGAGAATCTGAAGCAGGAGGATTGGGTGTTCAAGGCCAGCTGGGGACAGCCAGTAAGAACACAAGACCAAGCAAGACACATCTCTATTCACATATAGACACAAGGAAGGGAGACACTGGACCACATACCTGAGAACGCATCTACCAAGTACAGAGGGTCCTTTACAGGCCTGAGTCCGCATATTACCAGGAACACATAAAGGTTGTCTGCACTTTGGTCAATCTCTGCAACATAAGAATGGAGGATACAGCTAAGTTATGCAACAGCAGTGACATCACTGTGACATGCAGACCAGAGGTTCCCCACGTTGACCTTCCTACTTCTTGCGTGTCCTCTGACTGCATTGCCATGCATTAGCTTCTCCAAGCATAGGTAAACCTGAGCCTCACCCTGCCCTTGAAATGCAAGGTCTCTGCCATAGAGAGGGAGGGATGGGGCCTGGGAGAGCTGACCCAGTCACTGGGGATAGGAGCCAGCAGTCCCGGGAAGGACTCGAGCACAGTTCCCATTGAGAAAAGTGTTCTTTTTCTTGATGCAGCTAGAAAAGTGGCGCATGGATGAGCGTGCTCAAGAATTCACAGATGCACGGTAGGTATGAGCATATGTCCCTGGGAATAGGAAACACACACATACGTCCTGCCATCCTGTTGTTTTTTTTCTGCATATGCCAGTTGGATTTGTCAACTATACCTCAGAAAATTGTAACAGTTCTAAAAGTAGATGTATATGTTTATAGAGTGGTTTGGGGTTTTTTTCCTCATTTGTTTCTATTTTGTTTCTCAGGGATAGTATATGAGATAGTGTCACCTATAATAGTCCAGGCGGGGCCTCAAACTTGTTAGGTAGCTGAGGACCTTGAACTTATGACCCTCTTGACTCCACCTCTCAAGTCTAGGACTACAGCCGTACACCGCCATGCCTAGTTTAGGCTGGGATCAAACCCTGGCCTTCCTGCATGTTAGGTAAGCACTCTAACATGCAGGAAGACCAATGGAGCTGTCTGCATTAGCTTTGAAAAAGACACAGAGGGAAAGAGTATGGAGAGATGATCCAGCAGTTAAGAGCACTGGCTGCTCTTGCAGAGGAACCAAGTCCAATTCCCAGCACCCACATGGTGGCTCACAACCATCTGTGACTCCAGTTCAAGGGGATGTGATGCTCTGATGCCCCCTTCTGGCCTCCATGGGTACTGCATAAATGTAGTGCATAGACATACATATGGGCAAAATACCCATACACATGAATAACAACAACAATAATAATACAGAGAAGGCCTAGGAGTGCCAAATCAATGATGTAGGACCAGCGGTGGGCACCAGTCTTGGTGACTCTTCTCATGATAAGTGAAGCTGACTTCCTCACCTCTGGCCTCTAGATGGAGTGAGAACCTTCCTGGCCAACAAAATGCAGGCCTGTGTCTATATGTGACCTTTGAGCCTTGGTTGTGAGAGGCCTTATCACTCCCTGGTCATCTGGCCACACAGCTTTCTTGGGAAAAAAGACTTCATAATGAGGCTCATCCTGGCAGCGTGAAGTCCCAGACCTGATGTGAGGCTGGGCATCAGACACATGAGAGCATGAAGGGAACAGCATTGATGGGCCTGGAACAGGCAGAGGCTGCCCAGCTGAGCCACAAAAGTACAACAGTTCACACCTACAAAAATCATGAGAAATGACCATAGTTGTTTGAGACCAGGAGATGTTGAGGTGTTTTATGGCAACTGGTAGATAATTGATTTAATAACAACTATTAATAGACTCAGAAAAAAAAAAGCTGGTCTAAAACATAAGCTTTTACAGCCTGTGTAATTGGCCATAAAACTATGCACGTGCAGGGCTATCCGTCCGAGGATGGGTATTTGCGGTTTTTTTTTTTTTTTTCATGCAAACCATTTTCTGAGCTAACCTAAGTCTTGAGAATGAAAATGGTATATGAGTCATACATGTAGCTAAGTGCATGAAGGTCCCAGGTCAGCAAAGAGGACAGACAGCAAGAGTGACTCTGGACAGAATCACACTGACCTTGAAGACTCTGAGCCCTGTCTCAGCAAAGCTTTAAAAGCTTTAATAAATAATAAAACATGGCCAGGGTGGTGGTGGTTTATGCCTTTAATGCCAGCACTCAGGAGGCAGAGGCAGATGGATCTCTGTGAGTTCAAGGCCAGCCTGGGCTACACAGTGAGTTCCAGGACAGCCAGAGCTGTTACACAGAGAAAGCCTGTCTCAAAAAACCAAAATAAATAAATAAATAAATAATAAAATATTATCTATGTATGAAAATGTCATCATATATAATGTCACATACATACATTTCATGCATAATTAATATAGTTTAAAAAGTTACTTCAGTCCCTGAATTAAATTTGATAATATCACTAAGCTGTTTTGAGGGTTCTATATTTTTCCACCAATACTCTGGATTTCCTACCTAATCTTAGTAGATAAACCTTAGCAAATGCATATTTGACTAAAGTCTGAGCCAGAAGCTACGGATAGAATGTGGTCTCAAGGTCGGAGAATTGGAATTCAGGCACTGGAATCCAAGGTCAGGAGTCAAGTGATTGTCTTTAATAAATGATAAGCTATTCTCCTTAATAAAATCTAAGGGGAGGAGAGGTCAGGATGAGAAAGCAGCCCAAGCCTTCATGCCCAGGGAAGAGCTGCTAGTGTCTGCCTGAGCCTCAGACTGAAGGTCTGCTTGGGGACAGAGATCAAAGCACCTTAAAAAAAAACTTGCTTATTAATTTCAGAGGAAATATAATTCTGTACATGGGGAAAATGGGGAGGATGCTTTTTAGCTAAAGCAGGAGGTCTTAGTCCAACACACAGGGGCTATGTATTCACACACACAACCCAATTGCTACATAGATGTATCTACAGCGTGTGGGCATGCACAGGCATTCATATATTCAAAAATGACAATCAGCAACTGTAGATATAACCAACCTTCTTATTAAATAAGAAACACAGAACCAATGCAAAGAAGAAAGCCAAGAGGTCAGAGCTAAGAGTTAAAACCTTACCCTTCCTCCTGCGGTGGGTCCTACCTCTCCGAACCAGAGCTACCCCTGTGTTAAAGTCTTTATATAGAGTTCCTGTTCTGCCTTCTCATTGGGTTGTAAACCCAACCACATGACTGCCTTGTCACGGCCTGTCTGTATAGGCCTCCAGGTTTTCTATGATTGGTATTGAAATTAAAGGCATGTGTATCCAATACTGGCTATATCCCTGAACACACAGAGACTTACCCAGCTCTGCCTACCAAGTGCTGGGATTACAAGCATACGCCACCACTGCCCTGCTTTCCTATGGCTTGCTAATAGCTCTGACCCTGGGCAACTTTATTTATTAACATACAAATAACATTTTAATACAAATAAAATATCACCATAAGCGACAGGACAAGCCATCCAACTCCAGAGTGAAACACGACTCCAATCTGCTCACACTCTCGATGTAGGAAAATGAGTTCAAATCCATGGGAGGAAGAAAAGGGAAAGGCAGGCAGGCAGTGGGGAGAGCCGTGAGGACCCCCAAGATGGGAAAGTGGTCTCATTGAAATGGGAGAAAAAGGGGGCTCAGCGGTTAAGAGCACTGGTTGCTCTTCTAGAGATCCTGAGTTCAATTCCCAGCACCCACATGGTGGCTCACAACCATCTATAATAGGACCAGATGCCCTCTTCTGTGATGCAGAAATACATGCAATTAGAGCACTCATACATGTAAAATACATAAATAAATATTTTTAAAAAAAGAAATGGGAGAAAAATATAAATATGTGCGCCAAATGCTGCACCAAGATGACATTCTGGGAGCTCACGTAATTGCTTGGGAAGACCTGGCACCTGGTAAAAACGACTCTTCTGTGTCCCTGTGTGACATGGGTGATGAGGACATTAATTCCTTCCTGTTCACGTGAATCTCCTGCTCGGAACAACTGCTTGAACACCCTCTTGGCCCAGTTGGGAGGTACTGGGGAAATCTAGCCTTGTACCTTCTGAGATGACCCAGATGGCGTGGAAAGACAGCCCTGGAAAGAGGCTGGTCCATGGACCTCATCTCTGATTTCCTCAGGATGCTACCTGTTAGTTAGAGGAAGATATGCACCATATTGCAGCTGAGAACCCATGATGCCTGTGTGTCACATGCAGTACTTACACACAATAAAAACTTACTGTAGGGGCTGGAGAGACCCCAGTGGTTAAGGGAACTGGCTGCTCCTACAGAGGACATGGGACAAGTTCCCACTACCCATATAGCCGCTTACAACCACCTGAAACTCCAGTTTCAGAGGATCTGATGCTCTCCTCTGGCCTCTATGGGCACCAGGCAGGCACATGGTATCATATTCACACAAAGAAAAACACACACATAAATAAAAATATATTTATTTATTTGAGACAGGGTTTCTCTGTGTAACAGGCCCAGCTGTCCTGGAACTCGCTTTGTAGACCAGGCTGGCCTCAAACTCACAGAGATCTGTCTGCCTCTGCCTCCCAAGTGCTGGGATTAAAGGCGTGCGCCACCACCACCTGGCTAAAAATAAAATTTTAAAAACTTAAACGTACACACACACACACACACACACACACACACACAACACACTTTAGACTTCAGGTGGATAATGATAGAATTCGTCGCCTAGAAACGGGGTTCCTACAAGGTGACCACTATCTTGCTGGACCTTGCTTGGTCATCTCTTGGGAGAGCCTGTCTCGCCTTGAGCAGGGCAACTCTGGGAGGCAGGAACTGCAGGAAGGAAATGTGAGCTACACTGTACAATTCTTTCTGCCCTTTTTTCCCTGCGAGAAAGAGTCTGCCCCCTCACTGTGTGCGTCAATAAACACAGTCCCATTTATTGAAAGGTTAGAATCCTGTCTCCTTCGGTCCCCCTGTCTCTTTAAAACTGCCTCCAAAATCTAATAGATGGGACTACAGAACAATTAGAGGGCTTGTCTAGCTTGGAGGAAGCCCTGCATCCACTCGCCATCAGACTATAAGCCGGGTACGACGATGTATGCCCACAATGCTAGCACTCAGGTGGAGGCAGGGTTAGAAGTTCAAGGTCATCCTCAGCTACACAGCAAATGTAAGGTCATCCTAGGCTACGTGAGACCCTCAAAAATAAGTTATTCAAACGAAAATAAATAAAATAAAACTGCGTACTTCAGACTGACGACAGGCAGTGTACCTTGATGTTTTCTATTCAGTAAAGTGCTCACCC